CACAGCAGCAGTGTGTTATGGCACCTACCACAGCAGCAGAGTGTTATGGCACCTACCACAGCAGCAGAGTGTGTTGTGGCACCTACCACAGCAGGAGAGTGTGTTGTGGCACCTACCACAGCAGCAGTGTGTTATGGCACCTACCACAGCAGCAGAGTGTGTTGTGGCACCTACCACAGCAGCAGAGTGTGTTATGGCACCTACCACAGCAGCTGTGTGTGTTATGGCACCTATAACTTAAATTGCCAGGCATACCATCTAAAGGGGACAAAAAGATACAAAACATCCAGGCCATGGGAAAACCTGGGTAGCCACAGCCACTCAAGAGGGAGAGGTTTTTTAGTGCCAGGAAGGAAAAAAAACTGGCAGGAAATGGCAGAAATCGTACACCAAATCCAGTCATTCCTGGAGTGGAACCACAGTCGATGGCCTCCACTCCAAACCAACAGATACAGATACTAATGCCGGAAAAAAAATCCCCCCCCAGTACCAACAATACCACCAGTCCGATAACATTCTTCTTTGCAAATATACAGGGTCTAAAGCCAGCAATAAACAACAAAATACCTTTCATCCGTGGACTGCTTGCAGAGGCAAAGGCAATGTTCGCGGCTTTCACTGAGACCCACATAAAGGATCACTTGGACAACGAAATATGGATCCCAGGTTACAACCTATACAGATGTGACAGAGTGAACAGGCAAAAGGGGGGGGTTGGCCTGTACATTGCAGAGTCACTTGTTTGCACAGAACTGCTTAATGCCTCAAATGACGTAGTGGAAGTTTTAGCAGTAAAGGTCGAGAACCAAAACCTAGTCATTGTGGTAGTCTACAAGCCTCCGGATGCAACATCCCAGCAATTCCAGGAACAGCTGTTAAAAATTGACCACTGTCTGGAAAATCTTCCAGCTCCTGCACCCAACATCTTGCTCCTGGGGGATTTCAACTTAAGGCACCTAAAATGGAGGAATATAGCAAATAATATTGTTGCAGTAATAACACCAGGAGGCAGCTCTGATGAAAACTCACACTCACACGAGCTTTTAAATCTCTGCACAAAATTCAATTTAAACCAGCAAATAATAGAGCCTACTAGACTGGAGAATACACTAGACCTCATCTTCACTAACAATGATGATCTGATAAGAAATGTCACCATATCAAAAACAATATACTCAGATCACAACATAATTGAGGTTCAGACATGTATGCGTGGAGCCCCAGACCGACAAAATGAGACTAGTCACGAGGGAGCATTCACCAAATTCAACTTCAATAACAAAAACATAAAGTGGGACCAAGTAAACCAAGTCCTAACCGATATAAGCTGGGAAGATATACTAAGCAACACAGACCCAAACTTATGCCTAGAACAGATTAACTCGGTGGCACTCGATGTATGCACAAGGCTTATTCCTCTAAGAAAAAGGAGGAGTAGATGTAAAATAGAAAGAGACAGGCGCTCCCTTTACAGGCGACGGAAAAGAATAACAGAGCGGCTAAAAGAGGTCAATATATCAGAAATGCGCAGGGAGACACTGGTCAGAGAAATAGCAAGCATCGAACTTAAGCTAAAAGAATCCTTTAGGAGTCAGGAATCGCGGGAAGAACTAAAAGCCATAAATGAAATCGAAAGAAACCCAAAGTATTTCTTCTCCTATGCCAAATCAAAATCGAGAACAACGTCCAGTATTGGGCCCCTACTTAAACAAGATGGGTCCTACACAGATGACAGCAAGGAAATGAGTGAGCTACTCAAGTCCCAATATGACTCAGTTTTTAGCAAGCCGCTAACCAGACTGAGAGTCGAAGATCAAAATGAATTTTTATGAGAGAGCCACAAAATTTGATTAACACAAGCCTATCCGATGTTATCCTGACGCCAAATGACTTCGAACAGGCGATAAATGACATGCCCATGCACTCTGCCCCAGGGCCAGACTCATGGAACTCTGTGTTCATCAAGAACTGCAAGAAGCCCCTATCACGAGCCTTTTCCATCCTATGGAGAGGGAGCATGGACACGGGGGTCGTCCCTCAGTTACTAAAAACAACAGACATAGCCCCACTCCACAAAGGGGGCAGTAAAGCAACAGCAAAGAACTACAGACCAATAGCACTAACATCCCATATCATAAAAATCTTTGAAAGGGTCCTAAGAAGCAAGATCACCACCCATCTAGAAACCCATCAGTTACACAACCCAGGGCAACATGGGTTTAGAACAGGTCGCTCCTGTCTGTCTCAACTACTGGATCACTACGACAAGGTCCTAAATGCACTAGAAGACAAAAAGAATGCAGATGTAATATATACAGACTTTGCAAAAGCCTTCGACAAGTGTGACCATGGCGTAATAGCGCACAAAATGCGCGCTAAAGGAATAACAGGAAAAGTTGGTCGATGGATCTATAATTTCCTCACTAACAGAACACAGAGAGTAGTCGTCAACAGAGTAAAGTCCGAGGCAGCTACGGTGAAAAGCTCTGTTCCACAAGGCACAGTACTAGCTCCCATCTTGTTCCTCATCCTCATATCCGACATAGACAAGGATGTCAGCCACAGCACCGTGTCTTCCTTTGCAGATGAAACCCGAATCTGCATGACAGTGTCTTCCATTGCAGACACTGCAAGGCTCCAGGCGGACATCAACCAAATCTTTCAGTGGGCTGCAGAAAACAATATGAAGTTCAACGATGAGAAATTTCAATTACTCAGATATGGTAAACATGAGGAAATTAAATCTTCATCAGAGTACAAAACAAATTCTGGCCACAAAATAGAGCGAAACACCAACGTCAAAGACCTGGGAGTGATTATGTCGGAGGATCTCACCTTCAAGGACCATAACATTGTATCAATCGCATCTGCTAGAAAAATGACAGGATGGATAATGAGAACCTTCAAAACTAGGGAGACCAAGCCCATGATGACACTCTTCAGGTCACTTGTTCTATCTAGGCTGGAATATTGCTGCACTCTAACAGCACCTTTCAAGGCAGGTGAAATTGCCGACCTAGAAAATGTACAGAGAACTTTCACGGCGCGCATAACGGAGATAAAACACCTCAATTACTGGGAGCGCTTGAGGTTTCTAAACCTGTATTCCCTGGAACGCAGGAGGGAGAGATACATGATTATATACACCTGGAAAATCCTAGAGGGACTAGTACCGAACTTGCACACGAAAATCACTCACTACGAAAGCAAAAGACTTGGCAGACGATGCACCATCCCCCCAATGAAAAGCAGGGGTGTCACTAGCACGTTAAGAGACCATACAATAAGTGTCAGGGGACCGAGACTGTTCAACTGCCTCCCAGCACACATAAGGGGGATTACCAACAGACCCCTGGCAGTCTTCAAGCTGGCACTGGACAAGCACCTAAAGTCAGTTCCTGATCAGCCGGGCTGTGGCTCGTACGTTGGTTTGCGTGCAGCCAGCAGCAACAGCCTGGTTGATCAGGCGCTGATCCACCAGGAGGCCTGGTCACAGACCGGGCCGCGGGGGCGTTGACCCCCGAAACTCTCTCCAGGTAAACTCCAGGTACCACAGCAGCAGTGTGTTGTGGCACCTACCACAGCAGCAGTGTGTTGTGGCACCTACCACAGCAGCAGAGTGTGTTGTGGCACCTACCACAGCAGCAGTGTGTGTTGTGGCACCTACCACAGCAGCAGTGTGTGTTATGGCACCTACCACAGCAGCAGTGTGTTGTGGCACCTACCACAGCAGCAGAGTGTGTTGTGGCACCTACCACAGCAGCAGAGTGTGTTATAGCACCTACCACAGCAGCAGAGTGTGTTGTGGCATCTACCACAGCAGCATAGTGTGCTATTGCACCTACCACAGCAGCTGTGTGTGTTATGGTACCTACCACAGCAGCAGTGTGTTGTGGCACCTACCACAGCAGCAGAGTGTGTTGTGGCACCTACCACAGCAGCAGTGTGTGTTATGGCACCTACCACAGCAGCAGTGTGTTGTGGCACCTACCACAGCAGCAGTGTGTTGTGGCACCTACCACAGCAGCAGTGTGTTATGGCACCTACCACAGCAGCAGTGTGTTGTGGCACCTACCACAGCAGCAGAGTGTGTTGTGGCACCTACCACAGCAGCAGAGTGTGTTGTGGCACCTACCACAGCAGCAGTGTGTGTTGTGGCACCTACCACAGCAGCAGAGTATATGGCACCTACCACAGCAGCAGTGTGTGTTGTGGCATCTACCACAGCAGCAGAGTGTGTTATTGCACCTACCACAGCAGCAGATTGTGTTGTGGCACCTACCACAGCAGCAAATTGTGTTGTGGCACCTACCACAGCAGCAGTGTGTTGTGGCACCTACCACAGCAGCAGTGTTGTGGCACCTACCACAGCAGCAGTGTGTTGTGGCACCTACCACAGCAGCAGTGTGTTGTGGCACCTACCACAGCAGCAGAGTGTGTTGTGGCACCTACCACAGCAGCAGTGTGTTGTGGCACCTACCACAGCAGCAAAGTGTGTTGTGGCACCTACCACAGCAGCAGTGTGTTGTGGCACCTACCACAGCAGCAGAGTGTGTTGTGGCACCTACCACAGCAGCAGTGTGTTGTGGCACCTACCACAGCAGCAGAGTGTGTTGTGGCACCTACCACAGCAGCAGAGTGTTGTGGCACCTACCACAGCAGCAGTGTGTTGTGGCACCTACCACAGCAGCAGTGTGTTGTGGCACCTACCACAGCAGCAGTGTTGTGGCACCTACCACAGCAGCAGAGTGTGTTGTGGCACCTACCACAGCAGCAGAGTGTGTTGTGGCACCTACCACAGCAGCAGAGTGTTGTGGCACCTACCACAGCAGCAGAGTGTTGTGGCACCTACCACAGCAGCAGTGTGTTGTGGCACCTACCACAGCAGCAGAGTGTGTTGTGGCACCTACCACAGCAGCAGAGTGTGTTGTGGCACCTACCACAGCAGCAGAGTGTGTTGTGGCACCTACCACACCAGCAGAGTGTGTTGTGGCACCTACCACAGCAGCTGTGGTCTTCTACGTCGCGCCTCGCACTATAACTGGCGCTCGCATCAGAAAGAACCGTCATGCACACTGCACGTATTACAAAGCTTCTGTGGCACTACAGCAGCTGACTGTTATCTTGTGGCACTACAGAGTGAATCTGTTATCCTGTGGCACCAAAACAGCAGCTGATGTTTACGTCACTTCTGGCTTTATGCAGTATTGCCAGACTACTATTGTCGAAGTTTTCATTCAAATTTAAAAATTCATGAGTAAGTTTATTCAGGTACAAGAACACATAAATAGTTATATAAATTATCATACGTAACAGCATATGTGCAAATTACCTAAGATAACCTAAAAAAGGTCAGACAAAGTGTTTTATTTTTTTGGAGTGGCCCGTGATCTGGTGGTTAAAGCTTTCGCTTCACATGGATTCTGGGTTCAATTCCCAGGGAGGGTAGAAACAGTTAGTTTAATATGTTTATTATGGACCCCATACCCATCCTGTGGGCGGTAGTCAAAAGATTACAGAGGTACGTAATTGGTCCAGGGACTCGACTCCAAAGTTTTGATAGCTGAGTAAGTTACAGAGGTAATGAATTCACAATTTACAAAGGTAATGAACTCACAATTTACAAAGGTAATGAACTCCAGGTAGGTCTAGTCACAATCATGACAAGTTACAAAGGTATTTACAGATTACAGAGGTATGTAATGGGTCCAGGGACTGGGCCCCAAAGTTGTGATGTCTGAACTAGGTACAAGGTAATGAACTCACAAGTTACAAAGGTAATGAATACTGTAAGAATGGTTACTTACATTTATACATGGCTACAATCATGAACAAATTATAGTGTAGTGAGCAATTCACACATTGGGTGTGTTTCTTTACACTGGTTGTCTATGTTCCCTATCAGTAAAATGGGTACCTGAGAGTTAGTGGACTGGTGTAGGTCACATCCTCGGACAAAACTGACCTAATTTGCCCGAAATGCTCTGCATAAAAAGCGGTTTTCTATATAGGGGGCGTTGAACCGGGCCGCGGGGGCGTTGACCCCCGGAACTCTCTCCAGGTAATCTCCAGGTAATGTAATTGAAGTCAGCTAGGTCTGTATATCTTGTATATGTAGTAAAGATATTATTATTATTATTATTATTATTATTATTATTATTATTATTATTATTAATGGAAATAAGTCTTGTCTGACTTTTTTGGGTTATCGTTGGTTCTCTACACATATGCTGCTATATATGATAATCTATTTAACTGCATTTGTGTATACCTGAATAAACTTACTAAACATACGTATCATACAAAAATACGTTTTCAATGGTTTAGAAGACACACAGGTGTTATGCACTCAACATAATGGGTATTTAACAAGGGCCCCGGTGGAAATAAGTCACTTTAACTTTTTTGGGGTTATGCTAGGTAATTACACATGTTAATATATATGATAATTGCGCTTATATGTACCTGTAACTAAATAAGCTTACTAGAATAATCCAATAAAGGCACACAATGTGTCTTATTTCCATCATGTCCACAGTGGATTTATTATTATAATCAAAAAGAAGCGCTAAGCCACAAGGGCTATATAGCTGTCCACGGTGGGAATAAGGGTCTTATTGTGAGTTCGGCGATAATTTATTCTTAAAAAGCACAATGTTAAGTTGGTTTTGTCATGGGCATTGATTTATATTGTGCAAATGTAAGAAACGTAACCTAACCTGACCTAATAAAAGACAACCTAAAATAACCTAACTGACAAGTCATTGGAGAACCCGGATAAAGATATTAAAAACTCTGAGAGAAAAGAATAAATGTGCCAATGTTATGGTTTCCACTAAAAGATATGTATGTATTCCCCTCATCCTTCTCTCTCTCTCTCTCTCTCTCTCTCTCCCTCCCTATTTATATATATATATATATATATTATATATATATATATATATATATAATATATATATATATATATATATATATATATATATATATATATATATATATATATATATATATATATTATATATATATATATATATATATATATATATATATATATATATTATATATATATATATATATATATATATATATATATATATATATATATATATATATATATATATAATATATATATATATATATATGATGCCTCTGTGTTAGTACACAAGTACCCCCGGAAATCTCTCCAGGTAAACACAAAGTTTAATCCCTATTACATTGATTTAAACTATGTAATCTGCAGGCTTTAAATCCAGTAATCAATTAACCGAAACGTAACTTTAACCTGAATAAAGCCTACTGACCCGATTATATGTACGAATTAATGTAAATTGGGTAGAAGAATGAACTGAAAACAAATGAGTTTACATTATTATATTTATTTAGATGCCTTAAACCTGTAGGTCAAAAGGTGTCTGGGATTGAGAGACAATCTTGTTTAGTCCAAGGAAATGGCAGGTAGATCCAATTCCCCGAAACAAGAGTCCTTTCATAGCATCAAGGTACTCTCCCATTTGAGACGGGAATTTCAGGCTGTGCCAGATGTGGTAACACTGGCCAAACGTCACCCTACAACAAATTCATTCAATACAAACATTTGTAAGATACACTGATGGTATTCAGAGTTTAACAATCAAACTGACTTTTTTTCTTTTTCATCTATTTTGTGTGACATCTTATTATATTCTGTTCTTTGCTATGTGATAATCGGTAGCGCAAGAACATATGGATACACAAAAGGCCTAGGAACTAGGCCCCAAAAGGGTTAACAGGTATACATAAGGATTTATATCTACATACCTACAGTTCACTTATCTGTTACAAGCAAATTTAGGAAATTTGCTTAGTATATCTGGTATCTTATTTTCATTAATAAAATATCTTGACATGTTACATGTCTATCTCTGTGTTCCTCAATAAGTGGACAATTAAGCACATAGTGTCAAAGACAGTGACTATATCCCTGATCACATAATTTGCATTTAGTTTGATCATCATCTGTGTGTCTCCCAAACTGCCAGAAGTACTTGTAACCAAGCCTAAGCCTGGCCACTACAACATCAGTCAGTCTGTTCACATTGCAAGTTGCTCCATAAACATACTTATCTACGTTCATGTTATCATAGTGGGTTATAGATCTACTCAGGCTTCTAACTGCATTCCTATTACAATAATTTTCATTGTTTGCTTCTCTCCTAATATTATTCCTAATGCTAGACACAGTTATACCAAAGTTATATTCTACATTCTCCTTCTGGGTACTCTTCTTGGCTAACATATCAACTTTATCATGAAGGAGTAATCCAATGTGTGATGGGATCCATAGCAATTGTACATTAATTGCTTTGTCCCGGATTTTTAAGTATCTATACCTGGCTTCTCTAGTGAGCATGTTGTTGTAGTCATTATATGAATCAGTAGCCTTCAGTTATAACATATAATCAGTAATGATGATAGAGTCAAGCTCAGTGTCATAAGTTATCATTATAATCAAAACTAAGCGTTAAACCACCAGGGCGATACAGCGCTGTGTTTTTGTCATAAATATGCATTTGAAAACTAGATATTTTGGTTACTGACCGATATGAGAAAGTTATCCCCGTTTCGCATAACTTCAGTACCTCTGCTTCAATGCACGCGACTGGAATATTACAGGAGTGAGGCATAAATTTGTAATGAAATTAAATATTAACACTGAAGATTCGAGATGAGTCAGAAGAGGATTCACAGGCCATCATGTGGAATCTAATAGTCATATTTCTTCAAATTGGTAAATTAGGACATACACAGCCCACATCTACAATAATTCAAATCCTCCAAATTGTATTATTATTATTACAATCAAAACTAAGTGTTAGTCACGCAGGATAACACAATAAAGCAAATGCGTCACTGAGGACTGTCTATATTATTTCAGTTGTGGTCCTTTAATCTTGTCTCCCAAGATGCTACCCACACCAGTCGACTAACACCCAGGTACCTACTGACTGCTAAGTGAACAGGGACAGCAGGTGTAAGGAAATATGACCAACATTTTCACCTGTGCCGGGGATCGAACCACTCACACTCAGTTTGCGAGGTGAGTGTGCTATCAACCGAGCCACAGAACATCCTAAACACATTAGAGTTGAAACCGCTCAGAAGTTTCCTTATCAAACTTTCAACACTGAAGGGTTGAAAATAATCGGATACGACACTCAGAAATCACTGAAAAGCAATATTTCCATTTTCTAAATTTTTCCCTTAGAAAAACTAAGTTTAATTTAAATAGGCAAAATCAATCCAACCTTTTCTCTATGTAAGATTGACCAGCATTTAATTATTAATTAATTAATTATATTACATTGGGCAGGTATTAAGCAGTGCCATGCATGGCACCTGGTCAGTGGCAGTGTCTCATTAGCTTCCCAGGTGGTTATTAAAAGGGTATAAAATACCGACAGGTTGTTAGGTAAGACACATATGCAACAGGTATCTTTATTTCGAAACGTTTCGCCTACACAGTAAGCTTCTTCAGTCGAGTACATTATTATTATTATTATTATAATAATCAAAAAGAAGCGCTAAGCCACAAGGGCTATACAGCTCAGTCGAGTACAGAAAAGTTGATAGAAGAGACGTGAAGACATGGTATCCACGTGACGTACATTATAATAAACTCTTGCTATGTTCTAATAGAATATAATATCTTTATTTATTACAAGTACATGTACAAGGTATACAGGCCTAGCTGACATCAGTAACATACTACTATTCAAAAAGCCGCTTGTTATGCAGAGCATTTCGGACAAATTAGGTCAGTTTTTGTCCCAGGATACGACCCACACCAGTCGACTAACTCCCGGGTACCTAATTTTACTGATGGGTAAACATAGACAACCGGTGTAAAGAAACACTCCCAATATTTCTCCCTCACTGGGAATTGAGCCCAAACCCTCCCAGTGTGAAGCGAGAGCTTTAGCCACCAGGCCATTATTATTATAATAAAAAAGAAGCGCTAAACCACAAGGGCTATACAGCGAGCCACCAGGCCAGCTAGGGCCCATGCCCCGGGGTGTTACCCCGTACTATCCCTATAGTTTTAACTGGGCACGTTCCAGCAACAGCAAAAGAACATCTTTCAACAACAGCGAGCAGTCAGCAGTTAGTGTGTATATTAGTAGCAGGTACCAACAGTAGTGCTCACCTGGCCTTCATATCGAAATAGTGACAGTCCAAAATGTTGAGCTCTGCTTTTCGACCCTGGAAAAGCTCTATGTTGGACTGGGTGAATCAAAGCGAATGGTCACCATTGCAGGTGACTAATCATTTAGCTTATACAGCTCCTGGAGCAATGAAAGGCCTTTAGACTTTATTCGAAGAATTGAAACACAGGTCCAATTCCTTAGATCAAGAGTCCCTTACCAGCATCAATGTGCCTCCCATGAGGGAATTACAGGCAGTATATCTGTTTGCATTGTTTCACCAGACTTCAAGGACCTATCAGTGCCAAATACCCAGGCCAGTGGAAGGCGTTACAGCGAGAAGAGGCAATGGACGCATTGTATGTATATATTATAATCATAACCAAGCGCTAAACCCGTAAGGGTCATACAGCATTGTATATATGAGGTTCCTAACACCACCAGCATGTGGGACAACTTCAAATTATTAATCTGCAAATATTATTAAACAAATTGATTTCTCTGCAATAAGAGAATAACCTCTGTTGATCGACTTCAAAGCCTGAATGCTAGTTATCTTTTTTATAATAAAAAAGAAGCACTAAACCCACAAGGGTCATACAGCACTGCGTTATCTTGACTGGATGATTATCATCATAATCATAGGGGAGCGCTGAACCCGCAGGATTATACAGCGCATGTGGGGAGGATGGAAGGTATTCAGCCTCAATTCAGGTAACTGGAGCACAGATCCAATTCCCTAGATCAAGAGCCCTTCACCAGCATCAAGGAACCTCTTGAGGAGAGATCATTATTATAATCATAACCAAGCACTAAACCCATAAGGGTCATACAGTGGGCCCAAGACTGTTCAACTCCCAGCATACATAAGGGGGATTACCGATAGACCCCTGGCTGCCTTCACGCAGGCACTGGACAAGCACCTAAAGCCAATGCCTGACCAGCCGGACTGTGGTTCGTACGTTGGATTGCATGTGGCCAACAGTAACAGCCTGGTTGATCAGGCCCTGATCCTCCATGAGGCCTGGTCACACACCGGGCCACAGGAGCGTTCAAACCCAGAACTCTCTCCAGGCAAACATAAGGGGGATTACCAATAGACCTCTGCTGTCTTTAAGAAGGCACTGGACAGTCAGTGCCTGACCAGCCAGTGGTTTGTACATTGGGTTAGGTACAGCCAGCAGTAACAGCCTGGTTGATCAGGCCCTGATCCACTATAAGGCCTTGTCACAGTGGGTCGTGGGGGCGTTGGCCCCCTGAAACTCTCTCCAGGTATCTTGACTAGAACAATTTATTAATTTTGGTCTAGGTACCAATTTGCCAATTTTATTGAATTGGCAAAGTTAATTTAGATTCATCCCTCTGCTGTCCTTTTCTCATAGCTCCTAGTAGGTATGCAAATTGGCATTTCCTAAATTATTATAATCATAACTAAGAGCTAAACCCACAAGGGTCATACAGTGCTTCATTGTTTCCTAAAAAAAAATTATTTTCCCTTATTAGGGTTGTAGACAATTTTACAGAGAATGTAATAAAAAAAAAGTATATTAAAAACTTGTGTTTTAATGGTGCTTTTAAGTTTAGGAGCCCTTATATATCTTATTTTCTTAAGGGTTTTATTCCAGAGCTGGAACATATTCAGGCACAGTGTTTTTGTCCTCCACAAATTTCCTTACTCGATTGGCTTCGGATTTTCAACTGCGATGAACTATAACTGGGGAAAGCTTCACGTATTTATTAGCATGTGCAGCTGCCTGAGCACCTGTTAAGGTATTGTGGTTAAAAATGACATTTTATTATGGAGATTAACTGAAAGGTCAAACAAGTGAGCTACTGAAGTGTAATACCTTTCCCTTTTCAAGAAAATGTTCTGCTTACGTAACTATGCCAAGTGAAATGGTAAACTGTTAACTGAAGTACAACTAATAATGAGTGGGTATTGTGGCATGCAAAGAATAAACAAACACTGAAGGCAAAATTTAATTAGATGTTTTACAACCTAGGCCATTTTCAAACAAAAAGGCGACTCCAAAAGAAAATATATTTTTTGTTTTGGGGTTATTAATTGTAGAGGGAAGCAGTAATCAACCCATTATTTCACATATTTTAGTTGCCTACCATTACCCAACTTTCCCAAGGGGTGTTATGATATATTACAGTACATACATGAAAGGGGGTAAAGCAGCAGCAATAGATGGGATTCAGACAAAGATGTTAAAGGCAGATGGGGATATACTAGTTTTGAAGAGGCCAATTCATTTGATCAATATGTGCATGAAGGGGGGAAAAAAAAAAGGTACCTAGGGATGGGCAGAGAACATGCATAGTTCCTTCATATGAGGGAAGTGGATATAAGGGAACCTGTAAGAATTATAGGGAAAGAAGCCTCTTGAGTATACCAGGAAGTGTATGGTAGTTATTTAATGAGGCAATTATACACAAGAAAAAGGGTAGGATTGTAGAGGAACAAGAAGGTTTAGGGAAGGGTAGGTGATATGCAGACCAAGTGTTTACAATGAAGTACATAAGTGAACAACTTGGAAATGGACTTGTTGGTAGATGATTCCATCAGAGAAGGGGTGAACCATAGAACTGATGAAAGGAAAAAAGGTTTATGGTGCATTGAGGCATTGTGTAGACAAAAAACTTTATTCATGGAGACAAAAATGGGTATGTATCAAAGTATGGTGGTACTAACACTGTTGTAAGGGTTTGAAGCATAGGCTTTGAATGTTCCAGCAAGGAGGAGACTGGAGGCAGTCGAGATGTTGTGTCTGAGGGCAATGTGTGGTGTGAACACTATGCAGAGATTGGAGATTAGGAAGCATGGATTTACCAAACGCATTATTCAAAAGACTGAGGAAGGGTTGTTGAGGTGGTTTAAACATTTGGAAAGGGTGAATAAAAATTAAGATAAGGAGGGCATATCAATCTGGGGTCAAGGTAAGGAAGGGTAAGCAGTTGTCCTAATAAAGACTGGAGAGAGAGGGTAAAGGAGGTTTTGAGTGCTAGGGGTGTCAGACATCAGAAAGGATTGTGAGAGCATGTTTGGAGTGAAAGTAAATGGTTTTTATGATTTAATGTGCTGTTGGAGTGTGAGCAAGGTAACATTTATGAAGGGATTCACGGAAGCCAGTTAGCCGAACTTGAGTCCTAGAGGTAGGAAGTACAATGTCAGTATTCAGAAGCAGTGGTGGGGAATGTTGCAGTTTTGTGTCATCTGAACTGTAATGTCAGTGTGCGTCTGACAAGACAGTGACTCAATGAGTGACACTGAAAATATTTTCCTCTTTGTTGGGTCACCCTACCTTGGTGAGAGATGCCTGGAGTGTTAAAAAACAAACAATATAAATAAGTTAAAAAATATGCTTGCAAAGAATTTTATTACAAAATGTATTATGATACTGAATGTCAAAAAAAAGGTATAAACCATCACTAATATTCTATTACATCTCTGTTAACAAGACTTAACTTTATACACCTTATATGTATATCTAACTTCATCCCTAACATTGATACAATACATCCTTAAATGCTATTGCAGAAATGGTTTTTTGGTGGCCAGAGTATTCACGCTTAATTTCTCCAGTTTCTACGGACCATAATCTTGCAGTGTTATCAGATGAGCCTGTGAAAAAAAAAAAAAAAAAAAAAGTTTTATAGAGAAAGTAAACAACTTTAATTACTATCAACCAAGAAATTCCAATACACAATCAACGAATATCCCATTATCCATTAAAAGGTAATATTATAGAAGGGATATACTGCGTGAGCACGTTAAGAGAGGAGCGAGTGGAGGCGAGTGGTTTTTCAAGACTTGACGTACTGCCGAGTGTGGGAAAGGTAACATTTATGAAGGGATTCAGGGAAACTAGTTAGCTAGACTTGAGTTCTGGAGGTGGAAAGTACAGTGCCTGTACTCTAAAAGAGGGGGTGGGGATATTTGCAATTTTGAACTGTAGTATTGACACCCTTCTGGCAAGACAGTGATTGAGTGAGTGATGGTGAAAGTGTTTCTTCTTTGGGTCACCCTACCCTGGTGAGAAACGGCTGGTATATTAACAAAAAAATTATAATAATTAAGTTAAGAAAGCTACCTACCTGTTATAACATGCTGTGAATCAGCAGAAAAAGCAACATCCCACACCCATCTTTGACTACTATCACTCAGCTCTGTCATCTGTGAAAAATCTGCAGTTTTCCATATACGAGCAGTGTGATCTGCTGAAGTTGTGACCATCATACTGCAAAAAAAAAAAAAAAAAAAAAATTTAGTGTTCCACATCTCAGTCTATCGTTTTTTTCCTTTAAACACGGTGTCCCAATTTCACCCATTTTGCTGGAATGGTGAAAGAAAATTCTTTCCAAAAGTTTAAATTCTGAATACAATTCAGTACTATTTAGAAGTTTCTGAATAAGAAAAAAAAAATCATGCAAAATGAGAAATTTTTACAATTCAGAATTTTTCTGTATAAGAAAGAATTCTTTCAGAAAAAGTAAATTCAAAATGATCTCTGATATTCAGACTAAGAATAAAACTATAAAGTTGAGCATTTTGTTTCAGTAGAGGAAAATCGTGTCTAAGTTTTTGGATACTCCCAAGTATACATTACTTTTCTGATTGATTTTATTACTAAAAAACATCACAACACTCCCTACAAATTTGAAATCTGGGGTACCTGAGACTGATTTTGATTATTCTTGGCTTTTACCGAGGAATCCCCTGTGAATAATTTCTAAAATTCACCTAAATTTCTCTTTAAGATACCCTTCCTTACAACTGTAAATATGAATGCAATTAGAACAATATACTGTAGTATTTAGAGAAGAACTTCAATAAAACACAAAATGAATCAAAATCTAAAAAGCATATAGACAACATTTAGTAATATAGTTCAGTATTTAACCCTTTGACTGTTTTCGACGTATAAATACGACTTACGAGCCAATGTTTCTGACGTATATATACTCAATAATTCTAGCGGCTTCAAATCAAGCGGGAGAAAGCTGGTAGGCCCACATGTGAGAGAATGGGTCTGTGTGGTCAGTGTGCACCACATAAAAAAAATCCTGCAGCACACATTGCGTAATGAGAAAAAAAAACTGATCGTTTTTTGGAATAAAACGCCGACTTTGAGGTGTATTTTCGTATAGTATTTATCGTTGTATTCACGTTTTCATGGTCTTAGGTGATAAAATGGAAAACATATTACAGAAATAGAGATGATTTTCATTACTTTGACGATGAAAACGACTTTGAAACTGAGCTCAAAGTAGCGGAAATGTTCGATTTTTACCAATGTTCAGGAGTAAATAAATCACACCACACATCCAATACACGTCAACTGAGGAGTCTTAATATTCTTTTACTAGTGCACTGATATTATTTATACCATTTTTACAATAATGCAGTAGTCTGCATAACAGTAAATTTTGTATTTTTTTGTATGAATAAAAAATCAAAATAGAAAGCAATAATAATATAAGAAGGGCCTAGAGATGTGACTAATGAACAGAGCATATGTTATTTTAGTGCCACGAATGTCTACCTTGTTTATTCTGGACCCTATTTTGAAATTGACATCTTTTTTAGTTTGCGTGAAATTGGCCAAATTGCCAATTTCTGACCACCATATTGGGTAGTCCAAATTAGTAAATGGGAGGTTTCTTGTACTCAGCTGATAGATAAAATGGAGTTCTAAAGAAATAGCTATGAGTTTGGTCAACTGGAACAATGGAATTGGCTGAAAATAGGGCTCAAAGTCGGCGAAATCGCCGATACGCATATGTCGCCGAGACCGCTAACTTCGCGGGAGCATAATTCCACGAGTTTTCGACCAAATTTCGAACTTTTGGTGTCATTACCATCGGGAAAAGATTCTCTATCATTTCATAAGAAAAATTTTTTTTTTTTTTCAAAAATTGAGCGACAGAATGACAGTTTCAGAGAGGGGCCTGAAACAGTCAAAGGGTTAAGGTTTATGGACACACAAGGACCTCTACGAGAATATTCTCAAACTGGAGGGAGCCCTGTGGAGTACTGTACTTCTGTGTCTGACAAGTTGTGTACGAATGGTATTATATACCATTCGTACACTACTGTACTTCTAACAATACGTTTTCCTTTAAATATAAAAGAATAAAATCCACTTAAATAATAGAACAAGAAATTTCAATTTACAAGTTAAACAAAATGCAATAATAATTATAAAAAGAACTGCAGCTATCACAATTAATAAGCATGCATGCGCAAGCACAAGTGTGTGCATCATTGAAAATAATGGATCTTACGTGGAATCAGGGCTGAACTTGACTTTGAGAGCATAGTTGTTATGAGCATGAAGTGATCGAGTTGGTGTCAGGAAGATAGGAGTATCCCCAGTACCCCCAGAGAGTCGCCACACATACACCTTTCCCTTGTTATTAACAGCAGCCATGTATGTTCCTTCAGGGTCTATTGCAATGCTCTGAATACTGCTATCAGGTTCTGGTATCTGCATAATAAAGTATTTAATTATTTGAAAGAATTTTTTTTTAAGTTTATGCGAGTATTTCTTCTTCCACAAGTATTACATACTGTGTAACACACAAAAGCAAAAAATAAAAAAATTATGTCAATGGCACAAACAAATCCACCTGGAGACAATAAAACAGTAAACTTAGACAAGTATAGTATTGTACATTCTGGCCTCTCTCTTGAAAATCTTCACTAAAACCTAATACAGAATTTACTTCCCTAATATATTACAGAAACTAACCTACTGCAATCAACTTTAATTTAAATTTTACTCTTGCACTCTCCCCTACATCCAGCAGCTCCTATCCTTGTACACCCCTGCCCCTCACTCGCTCCTATCCTTCACACATTTCTCCCTGTGCTTCCTGCTTCCCAATCCCCACAAACACAGGAAATTTATTCTTTGGATTTGTCACAGTTAAAGGATTAAGATGAATGAATAAATAAAGAAGTTTTTAAGTGAATTCAACAGGTAAAACAAGTAACCAAAAATGTAAATAAAAAAAAATGGAGCCAAAGGGATACTGGGAAATTTTTCTTTGCAGTTTGTGAGAGAACTGAATAAACTAAAAGAGGCAGCAAGTTCTGCAGCCATTGGGAATTTAAAAAAATATACAAGAGATAGTAATGAAAATGAGCATAGTTCTGCTACTGTAGTTCCCAACAGGTAATTACTGATTATGAGCAGCACTTGAGAGGCAAATGTTATACGACTCCACAAAAGAGATTAGTGGACAGAAGACTAAACCACTAATAGTACTTATGGTTAGTTACCCATGTGGGCTTAGTGATACATTAAGTACTGTACATAAAACCCTCAATCAAAAATAAACAGCAGTGGCTCTTTCCTGAGAACATGAGCTATGTAAAGTGGCTATATGGTGGAAAGAAAGAGGAGTAAGGCTTACAGGTAAGTATTTAAGAACTGGCTAGCTAGATAGCCTTTGCTTGCATTCTGATGAGAAGGAAAACTACACAGCACAACCTGCTTTATGTATAAAGAGAATAATCAAAAGATGGCTGCATGACTTCCCTACAAGTCTAATGAAGAGTTTGACTAGCAGAAAACAGCTTATAAACCTGCTTCTTTGTGGAAAATTGACTATTATAAACAAGTGAGTGTTTCCTAGAAGCCCAGTGTTTTAATGTAACCAAATATATTGATGGACACACACAGGGTGAAGAGGATACTGTATTTATTAAAAATAAAACTGACAGATGTGTGTTGTAAGAGGCGACTAAAATGCTGGGAGCAAGGGGCTAGTAACCCCTTCTCCTGTATACATTACTAATTTTAAAAATAGAAATTCTCATTTTTCTTTTTAGGTCACCCTGCTTCAGTGGGATATGGCCAGTTTGTTAAAAAAAAAAAAGACAGATACATAATGGAATTTAATGAAGATAGGTGCTATGTAAAGGAAATTTGAAAAAATAAACAAAAACTATAGTGCAATTAAATATTAAGTGACAGGATCATGGACAAAAAGGCTGTCACCAGATCTAGTAAATTAAAACACGAGAAACTCTTATGTTTGAGATAGCCTTCAGGTAATTTATATGGATAGCAAGATAATAAAACTATTCACAAAGCAATTTAGGCCAAAACTGGAATATGAAGTGGTATTTTAATGTCTTCTAAAACATATAGGCAAGATAAAATATGGTCAAAAACATTCTAAAATATAACTCCCAGGGCAAAAGCAGGAGTTATGATACTGAGAACACTAAATATGCCCTCACTGACTGATAAAGAGAGGAAACATGATACATTATAACTAATAAAAAGATATTATATAAATAAAGCTGTGTTCCAGGCACAGTCAACAATGAGAACAAAAGGCAACACTTCCAAACTAAGAAAAAAAAGCAGTGTCAAAAGATTTGGTAACAAGTGCTACATCTAATGAAAATTTAAAAAAATTATATAATATATTAAACACTGGAAATGGGACACCATTAACATTACTCCCATAGCTAAAAATAGAGAACATTGCTGTGTATATATACATATATTCTTTCTTTCTTTCAACACACCGGCCATATCCCACCAAGGCAGGGTGGCCCAAAAAGAAAAACGAAAGTTTCTCTTTTAAATTTAGTAATTTATACGGGAGAAGGGGTTACTAGCCCCTTGCTCCCGGCATTTTAGTCGCCTCTTACAACACGCATGGCTTTCGGAGGAAGAATTCTGTTCCACTTCCCCATGGAGATAAGAGGAAATAAACAAGAACAAGAACTAGAAAGAAAATAGAAGAATACCCAGAGGGGTGTGTATATATATGCTTGTACATGTATGTGTAGTGTGACCTAAGTGCAAGTAGAAGTAGCAAGACGTACCTGAAATCTTGCATGTTTATGAGACAGACAAAAGACACCAGCAATCCTACCATCATGTAAAACAATTACAGGTTTTCGTTGTACACTCACTTGGCAGGACGGTAGTACCTCCCTGGGCGGTTGCTGTTTACCAACCTACTACCTAGGATATACATATATATGATGATCATATAGCACCATAACATACACATCAAATGTCATTGTACAGATATACAGTATATTGTACATATAAAGCTCTAACAATCTTCATATAGCGCTTCTTTAAATTAGATTATGATTGTTTCTATAATGAGACGGAACAGCTTCAGGTAAATTTAATTACAGAAATTCTCATTCTGCTTCAGTGGGAAACGGTCAGCGTGTTCAATAAAAAAAATTCTAAGAAATAGAATATGGTAAGGAGCAAAACTGCACATCTGTACACCTACCAACTGTTCATTATGCTCTGTTTTCACATCCCATATATGGATTACTCCTGACTGGTCTCCAACAAACAGCTCTGCCTGGTTGGGGTGAAGGCAGGCACAGTTGACTGGGTGACTTACTTGAAAAATTCTTGACACGTGCAGGTTATATGATCTAGAAGGAAAAACATGTTAGTTTTTACAACAAGCTCATGCACTAACCCATAAGTAGTTGTGAAGAGACATTCAAACTATTGAAATTTACTTTCTATATGCATATATCTTCATTCCATGATTCTTCAGTCTGCTTACTATTTTAGTTAAGACATTATTTTAGTAATGTATCTCATGTTGTTTTCACCTCAGACCTTATAGATCAAATTATCATTTCTTTTATGAAGAAATGACACATATCTGAGAACCAACTGAAATTGCAAGAGATGAAAATATTAAATTCTCTCCTTGGGTACAGTATCAAGAGCAGACTACCATAATCCAGAGTCATACCTCAATGTTTTGTTAATTTATAATGTACAGTATTACAGTAAAAATTTCTGGGAGCTCACACCCCTTACTTGGTTCATATATTGACATTTTACAAAATTCAAGTTAACTGTATTTACTAAGAGCCTCATTGGAAGAACTGAGCTTAGGTACATGAATGTTCCTCACAGTAATACTTTGGATGCAAAATCGTCATCAATCTTCTATGCTACCAGTTACATGTACACACAATCATGCAACTGATATGGGTGAGAGTGAAATCCAGCCACATGAATATAGACTGTGATAAAATACTGAGTGTCTGACAGAGGGGGACCTAGGAGTTATTAATAAAAAATTGTTGTCAGATCATATAAAGGGAATCGTGAGAAACTTGTATTCTACTCTGGCAAAATATAAAATAGCTTTTAAAAATATGGATGGAAAAATGCTAAAAAAAAAAATTTGCTGTTTATAACATACAGTGGACCCTCGACCAAGGATGGTATCATCTAACGTTAAATCCGACTAGCGATACATTTTAATGCAAAAATTTTGCCTCGAATAGCGCTAAAAAACTTGACCAACACGATTCGTTCCGTCTGAGACGCATCCACTTGTGGCCAGTGTTTACAAGCCAGCCAGCCACAGCGGTCCCATCCAAACATAAAATCGGAACATTTCATATTATCACAGCATTTTTAGTGATTGGACCTGCAAAATAAGTCACCATGGACCCCAAGAAAGCTTCTAGTGCCAACCCTACAGCAAAAAGGGTGAGAATTACTAGGTAGTAGGTTGGTAGACAGCAACCATCCAGGGAGGTACTACCGTCCTGCCAAGTGAATGTAAAACAAAAGCCTGTAATTGTTTTACATGATGGTAGGATTGCTGGTGTCTTTTGTCTGTCTCATAAATATGCAAGATTACAGGTATGTCTTGCTACTTCTACTTACACTTAGGTCACACTACACATACATGTACACGTTTATTTATACACACTCATCGAAGTTTTCTTTGATTTTATCTTAATAGTTCTTGGTCTTATTACTTTTCCTTTTATATCCATGGGGAAGTGGAATAAGAATCTTTCCTCCGTAAGCCATGCGTGTTGTAAAAGTCAACTAAAATGCCGGGAACAATGGGCTAGTAACCCCTTTTCCTGTAAAGATTACTAAAAAGAATAAGAAGAAGAAAATTGTCAAAGTGGGAAGTCTGAATGTGCGTGGATGTTGTGCAAATAAGAAAGAGATGATTGTGGATGTTATGAATGAGAAGAAGCTGGATGTCCTGGCTTTAAGTGAAACAAAGCTGAAGGGGGTGGGAGAGTTTCAATGGAGAGGAATAAATGGGATTAGGTCAGGGGTTTCAAATAGAGTTAAGAGCTAAAGAAGGAGTAGCAATAATGTTGAAGGATAAGCTATGGCAGGAAAAGAGGGACTATAAATGTATTAATTCAAGGATTATGTGGAGTAAAATAAAGATTGGATGTGAAAAGTGGGTTATAGAAAGCATGTATGCACCTGGAGAAGAAAGAAGTGTAGAGGAGAGAGAGAGATTTTGGGAAATGTTGAGTGAATGCGTGGGGAGTTTTGAATCAAGTGTGAGAGTAATGGTGGTTGGGGATTTCAATGCTAAAGTGGGTAAAAATGTTATGGAGGGAGTAGTAGGTAAATTTGGGGTGCCAGGGGTAAATGTAAATGGGAAGCCTTTAATTGAGCTATGTGTAGAAAGAGATTTGGTAATAAGTAACACATTTTATGAAAAAAGAGGATAAATAAATATACAAGGTATGATGTAGCACGTAATGAAAGGAGTTTGTTAGATTATGTATTGGTGGATAAAAGGTTGATGGGTAGGCTCCAGGATGTACATGTTTATAGAGGGGCAACTGATATATCGGATCATTATTTAGTTGTAGCTACAGTTAGAGTAAGAGGTAGATGGGAAAAGAGGAAGGTGGCAACAACAAGTAAGAGGGAGGTGAAAGTGTATAAACTAAGGGAGGAGGAAGTTCGGGGGAGATATAAGCGACTGTTGGCAGAAAGGTGGGCTAGTGCAAAGATGAGTAGTGGGGGGGGGGTTGAAGAGGGTTGGAATAGTTTTAAAAATGCAGTATTAGAATGTGGGGCAGAAGTTTGTGGTTATAGGAGGGTGGGGGCAGGTGGAAAGAGGAGTGATTGGTGGAATGATGAAGTAAACGGTGTGATAAAAGAGAAAAAGTTAGCTTATGAGAGGTTTTTACAAAGCAGAAGTGTTATAAGAAGAGCAGAGTATATGGAGAGTAAAAGAAAGGTGAAGAGAGTGGTGAGAGAGTGCAAAAGGAGAGCAGATGATAGAGTGGGAGAGGCACTGTCAAGAAATTTTAATGCAAATAAGAAAAAATTTTGGAGTGAGTTAAACAAGTTAAGAAAGCCTAGGGAAAGTATGGATTTGTCAGTTAAAAACAGAGTAGGGGAGTTAGTAGATGGGGAGAGGGAGGTATTAGGTAGATGGCGAGAATATTTTGAGGAACTTTTAAATGTTGAGGAAGAAAGGGAGGTGGTAATTTCATGCACTGGTCAGGGAAGTATACCATCTTTTAGGAGTGAAGAAGAGCAGAATGTAAGTGTGGGGGAGGTACGTGAGGCATTACGTAGAATGAAAGGGGGTAAAGCAGCTGGAACTGATGGGATCATGACAGAAATGTTAAAAGCAGGGGGGATATAGTGTTGGAGTGGTTGGTACTTTTGTTTAATAAATGTATGAAAGAGGGGAAGGTACCTAGGGATTGGCGGAGAGCATGTATAGTCCCTTTATATAAAGGGAAAGGGGACAAGAGAGATTGTAAAAATTATAGAGGAATAAGTTTATTGAGTATACCAGGAAAAGTGTATGGTAGGGTTATAATTGAAAGAATTAGAGGTAAGACAGAATGTAGGATTGCAGATGAGCAAGGAGGTTTCAGAGTGGGTAGGGGATGTGTAGATCAAGTGTTTACATTGAAGCATATATGTGAACAGTATTTAGATAAAGGTAGGGAAGTTTTTATTGCATTTATGGATTTAGAAAAGGCATATGATAGAGTGGATAGGGGAGCAATGTGGCAGATGTTGAAAGTATATGGAATAGGTGGTAAGTTACTAAATGTTGTAAAGAGTTTTTATGAGGATAGTGAGGCTCAGGTTAGGGTGTGTAGAAGAGAGGGAGACTACTTCCCGGTAAAAGTAGGTCTTAGACAGGGATGTGTAATGTCACCATGGTTGTTTAATATATTTATAGATGGGGTTGTAAAAGAAGTAAATGCTAGGGTGTTCGGGAGAAGGGTGGGATTAAATTATGGGGAATCAAATTCAAAATGGGAATTAACAGTTACTTTTTGCTGATGATACTGTGCTTATGGGAGATTCTAAAGAAAAATTGCAAAGGTTAGTGGATGAGTTTGGGAATGTGTGTAAAGGTAGAAAGTTGAAAGTGAAAATAGAAAAGAGTAAGGTGATGAGGGTATCAAATGATTTAGATAAAGAAAAATTGGATATCAAATTGGGGAGGAGGAGTATGGAAGAAGTAAATGTTTTCAGATACTTGGGAGTTGACGTGTCGGCGGATGGATTTATGAAGGATGAGGTTAATCATAGAATTGATGAGGGAAAAAAGGTGAGTGGTGCATTGATGTATATGTGGAGTCAAAAAACGTTATCTATGGAGGCAAAGAAGGGAATGTATGAAAGTATAGTAGTACACTCTTATATGGGTGTGAAGCTTGGGTGGTAAATGCAGCAGCGAGGAGACGGTTGGAGGCAATGGAGATGTCCTGTCTAAGGGCAATGTGTGGTGTAAATATTATGCAGAAAATTCGGAGTGTGGAAATTAGGAAAAGGTGTGGAGTTAGTAAAAGTATTAGTCAGAGGGCAGAAGAGGGGTTGTTGAGGTGGTTTGGTCATTTAGAGAGAATGGATCAAAGTAGAATGACATGGAAAGCATATAAATCTATAGGGAAAGGAAGGCAAGGGGTCGTCCTCGAAAGGGTTGGAGAGAGGGGGTAAAGGAGGTTTTGTGGGCAAGGGGCTTGGACTTCCAGCAAGCATGCGTGAGCGTGTTAGATAGGAGTGAATGGAGACGAATGGTACTTGGGACCTGACGATCTGTTGGAGTGTGAGCAGGGTAATATTTAGTGAAGGGATTCAGGGAAACCGGTTATTTTCATATAGTCGGACTTGAGTCCTGGAAATGGGAAGTACAATGCCTGCACTTTAAAGGAGGGGTTTAGGATATTGGCAGTTTGGAGGGGTATGTTGTGTATCTTTATACGTATATGCTTCTAAACTGTTGTATTTTGAGCGCCTCTGCAAAAACAGTGATTATGTGTGAGTGTGGTGAAAGTGTTGAATGATGATGAAAGCATTTTCTTTCTGGGGATTTTCTTTCTTTTTTTGGGTCACCCTGCCTCGGTGGGAGACGGCCAACTTGTTGAAAAAAAAAAAAATGAAGAAAGAGGATATGGATATGAGTTAGAGGTATTGGGAAGATGGAGGGAATATTTTGAGGAATTGTTAAATGTTGATGAAGATAGGGAAGCTGTGATTTCGTGTATAGGGCAAGGAGAAATAACATCTTGTAGGAGTGAGGAAGAGCCAGTTGTGAGTGTGGGGGAAGTTCGTGAGGCAGTAGGTAAAATGAAAGGGGGTAAGGCAGCCGGGATTGATGGGATAAAGATAGAAATGTTAAAAGCAGGTGGGGATATAGTTTTGGAGTGGTTGGTGCAATTATTTAATAAATGTATGGAAGAGGGTAAGGTACCTAGGGATTGGCAGAGAGCATGCATAGTTCCTTTGTATAAAGGCAAAGGGGACAAAAGAGAGTGCAAAAATTATAGGGGGATAAGTTTGTTGAGTGTACCTGGTAAAGTGTATGGTAGAGTTATTATTGAAAGAATTAAGACGGAGAATAGGATAGCAGATGAACAAGGAGGCTTTAGGAAAGGTAGGGGGTGTGTGGACCAGGTGTTTACAGTGAAACATATAAGTGAACAGTATTTAGATAAGGCTAAAGAGGTCTTTGTGGCATTTATGGATTTGGAAAAGGCGTATGACAGGGTGGATAGGGGGGCAATATGGCAGATGTTGCAGGTGTATGGTGTAGGAGGTAGGTTACTGAAAGCAGTGAAGAGTTTTTACGAGGATAGTGAGGCTCAAGTTAGAGTATGTAGGAAAGAGGGAAATTATTTCCCAGTAAAAGTAGGCCTTAGACAAGGATGTGTGATGTCACTGTGGTTGTTTAATATATTTATAGATGGGGTTGTAAGAGAAGTAAATGCGAGGGTCTTGGCAAGAGGCGTGGAGTTAAAAGATAAAGAATCACACAAAGTGGGAGTTGTCACAGTTGCTCTTTGCTGATGACACTGTGCTCTTGGGAGATTCTGAAGAGAAGTTGCAGAGATTGGTGGATGAATTTGGTAGTGTATGCAAAAGAAGAAAATTAAAAGTGAATACAGGAAAGAGTAAGGTTATGAGGATAACAAAAAGATTAGGTGATGAAAGATTGGATATCAGATTGGAGGGAGAGGGTATGGAGGAGGTGAATGTATTCAGATATTTGGGAGTGGACGTGTCAGCGGATGGGTCTATGAAAGATGAGGTGAATCATAGAATTGATGAGGGGAAAAGGGTGAGTGGTGCACTTAGGAGTCTGTGGAGACAGAGAACTTTGTCCTTGGAGGCAAAGAGGGGAATGTATGAGAGTATAATTTTACCAACGCTCTTATATGGGCGTGAAGCATGGGTGATGAATGTTGCAGCGAGGAGAAGGCTGGAGGCAGTGGAGATGTCATGTCTGAGGGCAATGTGTGGTGTGAACATAATGCAGAGAATTCGTAGTTTGGAAGTTAGGAGGAGGTGCGGGATTACCAAAACTGTTGTCCAGAGGGCTGAGGAAGGGTTGTTGAGGTGGTTCGGACATGTAGAGAGAATGGAGCGAAACAGAATGACTTCAAGAGTGTATTAGTCTGTAGTGGAAGGAAGGCGGGGTAGAGGTCGGCCTAGGAAAGGTTGGAGGGAGGGGGTAAAGGAGGTTTTGTGTGCGAGGGGCTTGGACTTCCAGCAGGCATGTGTGAGCGTGTTTGATAGGAGTGAATGGAGACAAATGGTTTTTAATACTTGACATGATGTTGGAGTGTGAGCAAAGTAACATTTATGAAGGGGTTCAGGGAAACCGGCAGGCCGGACTTGAGTCCTGGAGATGGGAAGTACAGTGCCTGCACTGTGAAGGAGGGGTGTTAATGTTGCAGTTTAAAAACTGTAGTGTAAAGCAACCTTCTGGCAAGACAGTGATGGAGTGAATGATGGTGAAAGTTTTTCTTTTTTGGGCCACCCTGCCTTGGTGGGAATCGGCCAGTGTGATGATAATAAAAAAAAAAAAAAAAAAAAAGAGAGATCATTGTTAAGTATGAAAGTGGAGTGTGTGTCTCCGAGCTGGCCAGGTTGTGCACAAAACCCCAATCAACCATTGCTATTATTGTGGCCAAGAAAATGGCAATCAAGGAAGCTGTTCTTGCCAAAGGTGCAACTATGTTTTCGAAACTGAGATCGCAAGTGATAGAAGATGTTGAGAGACTGTTATTGGTGTGGATAAACGAAAAATAGATAGCATCTCTCAAGCGATCATATGTGAAAAGGCTAGGAAGTTGCATGAGGATTTAATTAGAAAAATGCCTGCAACTAGTGGTGATGTGAGTGAATTTAAGGCCAGCAAAGGTTGGTTTGAGAGATTTAAGAATCGTAGTGGCATACATAGTGTGATAAGGCATGGTGAGGCTGCCAGTTTGGACCAAAAAGCAGCTGAAAAATATGTGCAGGAATTCAAGGAGTATATAGCCAGTGAAGAATTGAAACCTGAACAAGTGTTTAATTGTGACACTGACAATGTTGTGAAACACTTTAGGAATGTCATAAAGGAACGGGAGGTACAGGCCTCTATGGACAGATATGTTGTGCAACAGAGGTCCAGTGACTCAAGCTGGTCCTAGTGGCATTAAAAGAAGGGAAGTAACCCCGGAAAAGGACTTGACACCTGAAGTCCTAATGGAAGGGGATTCCCCTTCTAAACACTAACACCATCCACAGTCTCCCCTCCTCCCATCCCATCAGTCTTCACCAGATCTTCAATAAAGGTAAGTGTCTTGTAATTGTACATGTCTTCTTCAGTTTGTGTGTATTAAAATTAATATTTCATGTGGTAACAATTTTTTTTTCAATACTTTTGGGTATCTTGCACGGATTAATTTGATTTCCATTATTTCTTATGGGGAAAATTAACTCGACTAACGATAATTTCGATTAACGATGAGCTCTCAGGAACGGATTAATATCGTTGGTCGAGGGTCCACTGTACAGCATTAGGCTGAAATTGAATATGCAGCAGAGGTACCAAGAGGCTACAGCTGTAAAATAAGAAGAAAATGAAGCTGAAAGATACTAAAAAATTTTCTTCGGTGGTGGACCAATGGAATTAAAAGAGGACGTAGTAAGTGCTACAACCACTGGAAATTTAAAGGAAATTATATGATGAATAAATTATTAAAAATTGGAAACCACGAGCATGGCTCTGCTCCTGTAGCTACAAACAAGTACTGTAATTGTAAATAGGTAATTATTACTAATTAAAAAATCATATTTTAAAAAACCCAAACACAGTACTGTACAGCTGGCTGTTCTATTCAGAGTTATAATTAAAAAAGTTTTCACATCCAGTTTTGTGGATGTAGGTCCACCCTAATTTCACTTACAATTACAGAACCTCTCAGCTCTTGCAGTGAGTAATGGAAAACCAGGGCCACCACCAAATATTTATGCTGAAGTATTGTGAATGTTAGTTCAAGGATTAAAGCAAGAACAGTGAACCATGTTATACAATGAACAAAATATGTACATTTAAATCATAGGAGCACTGGGGAATAGGAGACAATCAGATATGATCCAAAGACAGGGAAGGTAGCTCCAATTCTTCTGATCAAGAGCCCTTCACTGGCATCACGTACCTCCCTTGAGGTAATTTTTTTTTTTTTTTTTTTTTAACAAACCGGCGGTATCCCACCGAGGCAGGGTGGCCCAAAAAGAAAAACGAAAGTTTCTCTTTTCAAATTTAGTAATTCATACGGGAGAAGGGGTTACTAGCCCCTTGCTCCCAGCATTTTAGTCGCCTCTTACAACACTCATGGCTTACGGAGAAAGAATTCTGTTCCACTTCCCCATGGAGATAAGAGGAAATAAACAAGAACAAGAACTAGAAAGAAAATAGCAGAAAACCCAGAGGGGTGTGTGTGTGTGTATATATATGCTTGTGCATGTATGTGTAGTGTGACCTAAGTGTAAGTAGAAGTAGCAAGATGTACCTGAAATCTTGCATGTTTATGAGACAGAAAAAGGGACACCAGCAATCCTACCATCATGTAAAACAATTACAGGCTATCGCTTTACACTCACTTGGCAGGAAGGTAGTACCTCCCTGGGCGGTTGCTGTCTACCAACCTACTACCTAGGATTTTTATTTTTATTAAGCAAAAATATAATTACACAAATTGCAAAACAATCAATCATGAAATGTTCCTAACTGATGCAAATATGAAAAATTAATTCTTGCAAAACAAACCTAATACATACATATACATACATACGTATATATACATTAAATATCTACTCATTACCTTAAATCCCAGATTTTTGCAGTACAATCTTCACCTCCCGTGAACATCCACTTCCCATCTTCCTGAAATCCTAGTGCTGTGACATTCTTACTCACACCTTCATAGTTGATAACGGGGTCTTCATTTAATGTTTTCAAGTCATACATGCGTATGTGTTGGTAGCCAGCTGCTGCTAACAAATGGCGATCAGGGGTTATCTCCATGGCATTTACTTGCTAAATATGAGAGTTAAGGAATAACACCCGGGTTAATAATCTGAATAATCGTCATCAAGTGAACAGATCTTAATTAGGTTGTCTGAAACAAACTCTGTTTATTAAAAATTATTTGTTATGAAATACAGTAGAAGAATAGTAATGCATACAATCTTTTAAAGAAAGGAAATGTCAGGTATAAAGGCAGGAAGGTACTACCATCCTTTTTTTTTTTTTCACTCTGGCAGGATTGCTGATCTTTTCTTTGTCTTATTTATGACAGGTAATTCTTACTAACTCTTATGTACACTCAATGAGCACATACTTTCACTTCCCTATGTACTTTATAATTCTTAATTCTGTAATATTTCCAACCAAGGAGTCCTGGTGTGAGACCAGACCATGGGAAAGATAATCCTTAAAACTACTAACTGATACTAGTTAACTGAGACTCTCTTTCAAATGGTAAAAAACCAAGTTAAAATAATGTACTATACTCCAAAAAAATAAAGATAATAAATCAATGACAAGCCATTTCCGTTGGGTATTAGAATTACTGGATATTTCAATATCATAACTGTATTAAACAATGGTAAGAGCACAAGAAACAATCGAGTTTCATCCCTGGAAATGGAGGGAAACTTCAATTCCTTGGCACAAGATCCCTTCACCAGCATCTGGGAACCTTTTTTTTTAATATAAACATTGTAAAAATGAAATTATTTTTATATGGTTTTTCTAAATAGCTTTTTAAAGCTATAATGTGATTCAATCTATGGAAGCAGAGGGCACCTCTAGTTCCTTTGATCAAAACACCTTCAACATCAAGGTGCCCCTCCCTTGAGTACAATAAAAAGATGAATATTAAACAGTATTAAAGGATACAGATTCTGGATGCTTGAACGTTCGCTGACAGATCCCGCTGTGGGCCTGCCATAACTTAATGGTGTGGTCATAGCTGGCGGTGGCTAAAATAACTTGGTTTGATGGGTCATTAGCAGACATAATTCATTTAAAAAAAAAAAAACTATGGCAAGATCTTAATGTTTCTTCAGTAGGTTATGTGTAGTTGGAGGTATCTCTGTCCTGGCAATGTGTTGAAGGTTTCCACCCTGGTAAAAATAAAATATAGTACTAGTATTTGTAATAACAAATGGCTTACAATCGGCACAGAAAAGGTGATATTATTGACATATATTATTATTATTATTATTATAACTATGGGGGAGCCCTAAACCCATAGGATTATACAGTGCACATGGGGAGGGGGGATGGAAGGTATTCAGGATCAGTTCAGGGAACTGGGGTCCAGTCCCTGGACCCATTATGTACCTCTGTAATCTTTTGACTACCGCCCACAGGATGCATATGGGGTGCATAATAAATACATTAAACTAAAAAAAAAAAAAAACTAACTTCAGGGAACTGGAGCACAGATCCAATTCCCTAGATCAAAAGCCCCTCACCAACATCAAGGAACCTCCCTTGATGGGTACATATTTTATAGAAAGCCCCTGGTTATGCAGATCATCTGGGGGCAGCCTTATTAAGGTTTAGTGTACTTAGCATACAAATAATTTATATAATAATGTTGAAAGCATACGTCTTGTGACATACAGAAAACATTATGTCGACTGAATCAAAGAAATAACCAATAAAAATCAAGAAATTGATTAACACAAGTGGCAATTCATTTTAGGCAAGAACTTTTATTTTATTGTACAAAGGAGGATGACAAAGTTGATCCCATGTATCAGAAACCTTCCCTATGAGGATAGACTAAGGGCCCTGAATCTGCACTCTCTAGAAAGACGTAGAATTAGGGGGGATATGATTGAGGTGTATAAATGGAAGACAGGAATAAATAAAGGGGATGTAAATAGTGTGCTGAAAATATCTAGCCTAGACAGGACTCGCAGCAATGGTTTTAAGTTGGAAAAATTCAGATTCAGGAAGGATATAGGAAAGTACTGGTTTGGTAATAGAGTTGTGGATGAGTGGAACAAACTCCCGAGTACAGTTATAGAGGCCAGAACGTTGTGTAGCTTTAAAAATAAGTTGGATAAATACATGAGTGGATGTGGGTGGGTGTGAGTTGGACCTGATAGCTTGTGCTACCAGGTCGGTTGCCGTGTTCCTCCCTTAAGTCAATGTGACCTGACCTGACTAGGTTGGGTGCATTGGCTTAAGCCGGTAGGAGACTTGGACCTGCCTCGCATGGGCCAGTAGGCCTTCTGCAGTGTTCCTTCGTTCTTATGTTCTTATGTCTCACCTACAGTGGCTCTTTATCAGGTACATGAAATGTAGTAATGTAGTAATACAAAATTTTCATCTGCTTAGTGTTGGTTAATGGGGGTATAAAAGCTAATCGACTACACGAGGATCATTAAAGTTGCCTGGTAACTTTACACCACAATACAGGAATATCTCTAATATAAGGATTCAAGTAAACTCTCAGCATATATACGCTGAGAGAAATATACCTTTCAGGGTATATACGCATAATATATAATATATATATATATATATATATATATATATATATATATATATATATATATATATATATATATATATATATATAATATATATATATATTATATTATATATATATATATATATATATATAATATTATATATATATTATATATATATACACACCCTGTAATTCAAGGACCCCAATGGAAATAAGTCACTCTCTCTGACTTTTTTTTTTGAGGGGGTTTATCCTAGGTAATTTACACATATATTACCATGCATGATAATCTGTGTAACTGTATTTAAATGTACCTTTACCTAAGTAAACTTACATCGTCCACAGACGAGCAGTGTCAATGTTGTTATTAAGGGCAACTGTAAAGTGAGCTGTTCCAGCACACCTTCCCACTTTATTTTTCTTTACTCAAATAAATTTTCTGGGAAAACAATTATCTGCGTAAAATAAAGGAAAAGATAATAAAAAGCGTTCCCATGCAGAAGTAGATGGTAATAATAATAATAAATATTAATAATAATAATAATAATAATAATAATAATAATAATAATAATAATAATAATAATAATAATAATAATAATAATAATAATAATAATAATAATAATAATAATAATAATAATAATAATAATAATAATAATAATAATAATAATAATAATAATAATAATAATAATAATAATAATAATTAATAATAATAATAATAATAATAATAATAATAATAGTAATAATATTAATTTCTGCAAAGGACGTGATATAATCTCCTTTCACTTCACATACTTAAGATACTTACCTGTTTTTAACTTTTAAATATAAATAATGCTTATCACAAGGACCCCAGTGCAAGTAAATCACTTTGGCTGACTTTTTTTTTTTTGGATTATCCTAGGTAATCAACACATATGCTGCTATGTATGATAATTTATGTATGTGTAACTGTACCTGAATAAAAACTTAATTACTTAACTGATACATATATTATAAGTTTATTTAAGTACGGGTACACATACGTACAGTTATCATACATAGTTTAACATACGTGTTAATTACCTTGGATAACCAAAAAAAGGTTAAACAAAGTGATTTAATCCCACTGAGGTCCTTGACATCATTGGTATAATATAAATGAAGTCAGTTTATACACAGTATTTCGGGAAAATTTGGTTAATTTTGTCCCCCAGGATGTGACCCACAACAGTCGACAAACACCCAGGTACCTACTTACTGCTAGGTGAACAAGGGTCAGCAGGTGTTTACCTGGAGAGAGTTCCGGGGGTCAACGCCCCCGCGGCCCGGTCTGTGACCAGGCCTCCTGGTGGATCAGAGCCTGATCAACCAGGCTGTTGCTGCTGGCTGCACGCAAACCAACGTACGAGCCACAGCCCGGCTGATCAGGAACTGACTTTAGGTGCTTGTCCAGTGCCAGCTGGAAGACTGCCAGGGGTCTGTTGGTAATCCCCCTTATGTGTACTGGGAGGCAGTTGAACAGTCTCGGGCCCCTGACACTTATTGTATGGTCTCTTAACGTGCTAGTGACACCCCTGCTTTTCATTGGGGGGATGGTGCATCGTCTGCCAAGTCTTTTGCTTTCGTAGTGAGTGATTTTCGTGTGCAAGTTCGGTACTAGTCCCTCTAGGATTTTCCAGGTGTATATAATCATGTATCTCTCCCTCCTGCGTTCCAGGGAATACAGGTTTAGGAACCTCAAGCGCTCCCAGTAATTGAGGTGTTTTATCTCCGTTATGCGCGCCGTGAAAGTTCTCTGTACATTTTCTAGGTCGGCAATTTCACCTGCCTTGAAAGGTGCTGTTAGTGTGCAGCAATATTCCAGCCTAGATAGAACAAGTGACCTGAAGAGTGTCATCATGGGCTTGGCCTCCCTAGTTTTGAAGGTTCTCATTATCCATCCTGTCATTTTTCTAGCAGATGCGATTGATACAATGTTATGGTCCTTGAAGGTGAGATCCTCCGACATGATCACTCCCAGGTCTTTGACGTTGGTGTTTCGCTCTATTTTGTGGCCAGAATTTGTTTTGTACTCTGATGAAGATTTAATTTCCTCATGTTTACCATATCTGAGTAATTGAAATTTCTCATCGTTGAACTTCATATTGTTTTCTGCAGCCCACTGAAAGATTTGGTTAGTGTCTGCCTGGAGCCTTGCAGTGTCTGTAATGGAAGACACTGTCATGCAGATTCGGGTGTCATCTGCAAAGGAAGACACGGTGCTGTGGCTGACATCCTTGTCTATGTCGGATATGAGGATGAGGAACAAGATAAGATAAGATAAGATTTCGTTCGGATTTTTAACCCCGGAGGGTTAGCCACCCAGGATAACCCAAGAAAGTCAGTGCGTCATCGAGGACTGTCTAACTTATTTCCATTGGGGTCCTTAATCTTGTCCCCCAGGATGCGACCCACACCAGTCGACTAACACCCAGGTACCTATTTGCTGCTAGGTGAACAGGACAACAGGTGTAAGGAAACGTGTCAAATGTTTCCACCCGCCGGGAATCGAACCCGGGCCCTCCGTGTGTGAAGCGGGAGCTTTTAGCCACCAGGCCACCGGGTCACTCGAGCCACTCGAGCGAGTACTGTGCCTTGTGGAACAGAGCTTTTCACCGTAGCTGCCTCGGACTTTACTCTGTTGACGACTACTCTCTGTGTTCTGTTAGTGAGGAAATTATAGATCCATCGACCGACTTTTCCTGTTATTCCTTTAGCACGCATTTTGTGCGCTATTACGCCATGGTCACACTTGTCGAAGGCTTTTGCAAAGTCTGTATATATTACATCTGCATTCTTTTTGTCTTCTAGTGCATTTAGGACCTTGTCGTAGTGATCCAATAGTTGAGACAGACAGGAGCGACCTGTTCTAAACCCATGTTGCCCTCGGTTGTATAACTGATGGGTTTCTAGATGGGTGGTGATCTTGCTTCTTAGGACCCTTTCAAAGATTTTTATGATATGGGATGTTAGTGCTATTGGTCTGTAGTTCTTTGCTGTTGCTTTACTGCCCCCTTTGTGGAGTGTAAGTAAGTAAGTAAGTAAGTAAGTAAGTTTATTCAGGTATACACAAATACAGTTACATAGAATTATCATACATAGCAGCATATGTGTAGAGAACCTAGGATAACCCAAAAAAGTCAGACAGAGTGACTTATTTCCATTGGGGTCCTTTAAGAGTGGGGCTATGTCTGTTGTTTTTAGTAACTGTGGGACGACCCCCGTGTCCATGCTCCCTCTCCATAGGATGGAAAAGGCTCGTGATAGGGGCTTCTTGCAGTTCTTGATGAACACAGAGTTCCATGAGTCTGGCCCTGGGGCAGAGTGCATGGGCATGTCATTTATCGCCTGTTCGAAGTCATTTGGCGTCAGGATAACATCGGATAGGCTTGTGTTAATCAAATTTTGTGGCTCTCTCATAAAAAATTCATTTTGATCTTCGACTCTCAGTCTGGTTAGCGGCTTGCTAAAAACTGAGTCATATTGGGACTTGAGTAGCTCACTCATTTCCTTGCTGTCATCTGTGTAGGACCCATCTTGTTTAAGTAGGGGCCCAATACTGGACGTTGTTCTCGATTTTGATTTGGCATAGGAGAAGAAATACTTTGGGTTTCTTTCGATTTCATTTATGGCTTTTAGTTCTTCCCGCGATTCCTGACTCCTAAAGGATTCTTTTAGCTTAAGTTCGATGCTTGCTATTTCTCTGACCAGTGTCTCCCTACGCATTTCAGATATATTGACCTCTTTTAGCCGCTCTGTTATTCTTTTCCGTCGCCTGTAAAGGGAGCGCCTGTCTCTTTCTATTTTACATCTACTCCTTTTTCTTAGAGGAATAAGCCTTGTGCATACATCGAGTGCCACCGAGTTAATCTGTTCTAGGCATAAGTTGGGGTCTGTGTTGCTTAGTATATCTTCCCAGCTTATATCGGTTAGGACTTGGTTTACTTGGTCCCACTTTATGTTTTTTTTTATTGAAGTTGAATTTGGTGAATGCTCCCTCGTGACTAGTCTCATTATGTCTGTCTGGGGCTCCACGCATACATGTCTGAACCTCAATTATGTTGTGATCTGAGTATATTGTTTTTGATTGGTGACATTTCTTATCAGATCATCATTGTTAGTGAAGATGAGGTCTAGTGTATTCTCCAGTCTAGTAGGCTCTATTATTTGCTGGTTTAAATTGAATTTTGTGCAGAGATTTAAAAGCTCGTGTGAGTGTGAGTTTTCATCAGAGCTGCCTCCTGGTGTTATTACTGCAACAATATTATTTGCTATATTCCTCCATTTTAGGTGCCTTAAGTTGAAATCCCCCAGGAGCAAGATGTTGGGTGCAGGAGCTGGAAGATTTTCCAGACAGTGGTCAATTTTTAACAGCTGTTCCTGGAATTGCTGGGATGTTGCATCCGGAGGCTTGTAGACTACCACAATGACTAGGTTTTGGTTCTCGACCTTTACTGCTAAAACTTCCACTACATCATTTGAGGCATTAAGCAGTTCTGTGTAAACAAGTGACTCTGCAATGTACAGGCCAACCCCCCCCCCTTTTGCCTGTTCACTCTGTCACATCTGTATAGGTTGTAACCTGGGATCCATATTTCGTTGTCCAAGTGATCCTTTATGTGGGTCTCAGTGAAAGCCGCGAACATTGCCTTTGCCTCTGCAAGCAGTCCACGGATGAAAGGTATTTTGTTGTTTGTTGTTGGCTTTAGACCCTGTATATTTGCAAAGAAGAATGTTATCGGACTGGTGGTAGTGTTGGTACTGGGGGGGGGATTTTTTTTCCGGCATTAGTATCTGTCGGAAAAAAAACATGCCCAATGTTTCACCCGTGCTGGGGCTCGAGCCTGTTAGGTTCTGCATAACCAGGGGCTTCCTATAAAATTTGTCAATAATGTCACCTTTTCCGTTCCAACTGTGAATCTTTCTTAATAAAAATACAGTTTATCATCTGACCTCGCTGAGTTAACCTCGAATAATATAGTAGAAAAAATATTTGTACAACCTTAGGTACCCAAAGCCTATTAATCTATTCATGCTAAAGCTTTACCCAGAGATGATCAAAAGCTCCAGCTGCGGGTCATCATATGACTAAGACCAGCATCAGGATTATTATAATCATGGGGGAGCGCTAAACCCGTAGGATTATTATTATTATTATTATAATCAAAAAGAAGCGCTAAGCCACAAGGGCTATACAGACCCGTAGGATTATACAGCGCATGTGGGGGGGGGATGGAAGGTATTTTATTTATTTGGACATGATACATGGTTGTACCAGGAATTATAGTAGTTTGGGTTTACATGCCAAAAGCCCTTTGCATGCAGAGCATTATAGGCAGTCTTAAAATTAACTTAAAGTTAACTAATCAATGGAAATAAGTCACTTGGTCTGGCTTTTCTGGGTTATCCCAGGTTCTCTACACATATGCTGCTATGTATGATAATCTATGTAACTGTATTTGTGTATACCTGAATAAACTTACTTACTTGTATAGATTCAGTGGTAAAAATTACAGTAAACAATTTACAATATGAAGTACAATTCAGACTCAATTCAGGGAACCGGAGCACAGATCCAATTCCCTAGATCGAGAGCCCCTCACCAGCGCCAAGGAATCTCCCTCGAGGGGACGAGCCAAAAAATAAAGAAAATCCCCAAAAAGAAAATACTTTCATCATTCAACACTTTCACCACACTCACACATTATCACTGTTTTTGCAGAGGTGCTCAGAATACAACAGTTTAGAAGCATATACGTATAAAGATACACAACATATCCCTCCAAACTGCCAATATCCCAAACCCCTCCTTTAAAGTGCAGGCATTGTACTTCCCATTTCCAGGACTCAAGTCCGACTATATGAAAATAACCGGTTTCCCTGAATCCCTTCACTAAATATTACCCTGCTCACACTCCAAAAGATCGTCAGGTCCCAAGTACCATTCATCTCCATTCACTATCTAACACGCTCACGCACGCTTGCTGGAAGTCCAAGCCCCTCGCCCACAAAACCTCCTTTACCCCCTCTCTCCAACCCTTTTGAGGACGACCCCTACCCCACCTTCCTTCCCCTACAGATTTATAAGCTTTCCAAGTCATTCTACTTTGATCCATTCTCTCTAAATGACCAAACCACCTCAACAACCCCTCTTCAGCCCTGACTAATACTTTTAGTAACTCCACACCTCCTCCTAATTTCCACACACTGAAAAAAAAGTGAGTTTGATCCAGGGAAGGTGAAGACCCAGATGATGAACCTCAGAGTGAACACAACTCGTCCTATTATAATTATATCTTCATATGTTACTATCTTATTTATTAATAACATTTGTTGTAAGTAAATTATAGTTTACACCCCACATTGCCCTTAGACAGGACATCTCCACTGCCTCCAGCCCCCTCCTCGCTGCAGCATTTACAACCCAAGCTTCGCACCCATATAAGAGTGATGGAACCACTATACTTTTGTACATTCCCATCTTTGTCTCCATGGATAACATTTTTTGTCTCCACAGATACCTCAGTGCACCACTCACCTTTTTTCCTTCATCAATTCTATGGTTAACCTCATCCTTCATAAACCCTTGAGGAATGTGTTAAAACCATAGGGGTCATGCAGAACATGAGGGTAATGGGAGGCAATCAGGTTTGATGCAAGGGGAGGGCAGCTCCAATTCCTTGGATCAATAGCCTCTCACCATTATGGGTGCCAAAATGTATATATGTTTCCCCACTTTCAGGGAATGGAGCAGCACTATTTTTCTTGAATAATTAGACACCTTTACATTTGGTAATTCTTAGTAATTCCCAAATGTAGTGTCTATCATTATAATCATAATTAAACATTAAACCCACAAGGGTCATACAGTGCTGCTCAAATGTCTAATTCTTCAACTTGTTGGTTTTGTAAACCATTTACATCACCATTTTTCTTGTTTCCTCATCCCAGCTACTCTGCCTTCCAACTAATTTCTTAACCTACTGCTTTTGTTCAAATTTTTTTGAATTTCTTATTACAGTGGACCCCCGTTTTACGATCAGCTCCCAATTATGTAAGTGTATTTATGTAAGTGCGTTTGTACGTGTATGTTTGGGGGTCTGAAATGGACTAATCTAATTGACAATATTCCTTATGGGGAACAAATTCGTTCGCTAATGGCACCTGAACATACTTCTGGAATGAAATAATATCATAAGCCGGGGGTCCACTGTATTAATAATAGAGATGCACTAAACTCAATAGGGTCATACAGCACCTGCAGAATGGGAGATATCAGTTTCAACCCAAGGAAGGGAAGAGACGCTCAAATTCTTTGGATCAAAACCAATATACCAGCATCAAGACACCCGACTTGCGCATCTCATTTTTCGTGCAAGAAAGGTATAAAATACCGACAATATGAAAGTTTAGACACATGTGCAACATCTGAATATCTTTATTGTAGACGTATGTAGTTCTACTGTCTTCTAATTATGTCCTAGAATCTGTATTGATAAAGTCACTGGATGGCGAAACGTCTACAATAAAGATATCCAGATGTTGCACATATGTCTAAACTTTCATCTCATTTTCCATCAACAACCATATTTTGATGGAATGGGATGAATACAGTACCGTTTTACAAATTAAATTAATTGATATATATATGCCACCACATTTTATTCCCACTAACAAAGTACAGGCAGTGTAATTCAGTACAAAGATAGTTAGGGAAATGCATCTGCTGGGTGTTTCAACTGTTTTGACATGTGCACCCTTAGACAGTGGGATAATTACATAGTATGCTAATGTCAACCATCTGTAATACAGGTGCTTGGTTCACCTGTCATACAGGATCTCTATTTTTTAACAACCAGACAGTTAAGCAATTATTCAGGGAAATACTGTTAGCATTTCCTTCAAAAGAAATGTATGCCATATAAACAATACAAATAAATATTTACAATTAAAGCAAATAATTTTCTTAGATAAAATACATAAACTGATTTAAAATAATTAAATTAATAAATGTACTTGAAATACAGTGGACCCCCGGTTAACGATATTTTTTCACTCCAGAAGTATGTTCAGGTGCCAGTACTGACTGAATTTGTTCCCATAAGGAATATTGTGAAGTAGATTAGTCCATTTCAGACCCCCAAACATACACGTACAAACGCACTTACATAAATACACTTACATAATTGGTCGCATTCGGAGGTAATCGTTATGCGGGGGTCCACTGTTAATGGATATGGATATTTTAATAAATGTATCTGATGTGCAGTATTATTTAATTAGAGAGAATGACTAATAAATTTTGCTTGGAAAGAGATGTCAGTGAGTGATCAGTAAGGCTCACAAAGCTGCATCTGTAAGATTTTCAATAATTTTCAGAAATCACATTTCTATTAGCTAAACAAAAGTTACCCACATACTGGAAAAAATAACAAAAGCCTTAAAACAAAAAACAATCCCTAATTTGACAATACTGTAGTAGTGAAGCAGCCAGACAAGCTGAACACTGAATATGAAGAGGCATTAATTTAAAATGCTTGGGACAAAACTGGTGTGTACTCTGGTAAGGGTATACATGTAATTATTTTCAAATAGGAGAAAATATAAAAGTCTTCATCTAATCAAACCCCTTGATTAGCAACTCATGAAAAATAATAACAATGGACAGGTACGGTATTTGGTTTTTCACTCTAAATGAAAACAATAAAAAAGTACTTTACCAACTATAGTTATTTGTAACAATTTTTTTTTTAATCTTACATGAAACAATTCTACCATACTGATAAAACATCCCACTAGTAATGATTTTGTACTTGCATTAGAGGTCTACATATCAGATACACTCCATTTATATGCTTCTTCATCTTGAGCCTTCCTACTGTTCTTACGTTCAAACCACTGTTTCTCAAAGCCATTTGATCTGTCTACCCCATCCCACCTGTACCCAGGTCGAACATTTAGTCTATTTGGAGGAAATGAACCCTTGTATGTTGGTTTCACAGGCTGCTTACTTGATTTCACATCCTTCTGCAAAATGTACTCTAACATCGGGTCTTCTTTTCTAGCTACAACTTTTAATCGATCATTCATGTCTGCATCATCTGCTGTTCTTGCAAAGGCTTTACCCATTTCATGTGTTTCATCAGCTACTTTTTGTTGGTACTCTTGCACTTGCTTTACTCCATGTTTCCACTGCTGATGCTTTTCTTCAGCCTGACGCTGCAACACCGCCTCCCTTTCCTTTCTGGCAATATCTTCTGGAGTGTCTTTCTTCAACTCTCCTCTCTTTCTTGCTACGAGATATTCTTGAGTGGTCATTTTGCGTTCTGGATGTTGCCTACGGTCTCTCTGGGAATGGTTATGTGAATCATCCATTTTTTTCCTAGGTGGAGAGGAATCAGAATCATTTCTTTTTCTCCTGGGTGGCGAGGAGTCAGAATCATTTCGTTTTCTTCGGGGAGGTGAAGCATCAGAGTCACTTCTTTTCCTTCTAGGAGGGGAGCAATCAGAATCATTCCTCTTTCTCCTTGGAGGAGAGGCCTGAGAATCATCTTTTTTCTTTCTTGGAGGTGAAGAATCAGAATCATTCCTTATTCTCACTGGTGGTGTTGGATGAGATTCAGCTCTTTTTTTCCTAAGAGGAGAAGAATCAGAATTATTCCGTCTTCTGGGAGGAGGTGAATCAGAATCAAGTTTTTTTCTTCTAGGAGACAAAGAATCAGAGTCATTCCTTTTTCTTCGTGGTGGTGAGGTGTCAGAATCACTCTTTTTCCTGTGTGATGAATCTGAATCAATTTCCTCCCTTCCATGAGAAGAGATATCTGAATCATTGGTTTTCCTCCTAAAAGATAATGCATGAAGATCTTTACCTTTTCTTGAGGGTGAAGTACTTGAATTGCTTCTTCTTGAGGGCGAGAGGCTTGGATCCTCTCTTAATTTTCTCTGAGGTGAAGTGCCTGAATCTTGTCTCTTTTTTCTTTGTGGTGAAGTATGTGATTCATTCCTTTTCATCCTTGAAGGTGATGTATCTGAATCATTTTGCATTCTTTGAGGAGAAATGCCCAAATTCTGTCTTTTACTTCCAGGGCCTGGAGGGTTCAAGTCATGCCGTCTTCTAGAAGGCGATGTGTCTAAATCATGCCGTTTTCTTTCAGGAGCTGAAATGCCTGAATCGTGTGTTTTTCTTTGAAAAGAAGTGTTTGAATCATGTTTTTTTCTTTGAGGTGAGGCATCTGAATCATATTTTCTTCTCTGAGGTGAGGCATCTGCATCAGGTTTTTTTCTTTCAGGTGAATAATCAGAATCATGTCTTTTTCTTCTTGGTGATAATTCAGAATTAAGAGCATTTTGTTTAGTTTCCACATTTGCTAATGGAAATGAATCTGAATCATGTCTCAATCTTTTTACTGATGACATCTTCATATCACCAGACTGAGGCGATTCATCAGAATTCTGATCTGCTTTTCTTACTCGTGGGGATTCAGAGACATTTCGAATCCTTGGGGGTGATCCAGAATCGCGTCTTCTTCTCCGTGAGGGAGAGCAAGAATTCTGTCTCAACCTCAGTGGTGGGGATCCAGAGTCATGTCGTGCCCTCCTTGGTGGAGAACCTGAGTCATGTCTGGCCCTCTTTGGTGGAGATCTTGAGTTATGTCTTGCTCTTGGTGGAGGTGATCCAGAATCATGCCTTCTTCTCCGTTGAGGAGATACTGAGTCATGTCTTGTCTTTCGTGGTGGGGACTCAGAATCATGTCTTTTTTTCCTAGGTGGAGAACCAGAGTCATATCTTGCCCTGCGTGGTGGAGACTCTTTCGATGTTTTTCTTGACCCATGCAACTGCTGCCAATCATGGTCATTTTCATCCTTACTCTCCTTGTCTTTTAACTTCTTCCATCTTCTGTTTCCTTGGAATTCTTCCATTATTTTCATTTTTTCATCTTCATATGTAACTTCAGCTACTGTAGGATTATCATCATCATCTGCATATCCAAAGGGTACATTTTTCATATCGAGAGAATCTTCAATGATGCGCATTCTGTAATGTAAAAGATGAAAACTATACTGTTCTAATTTACTAGAGTCAAGTTTCGGCTATAATACCTATAACAATATTGTATTAAAATTTAGTCAGAGAACCTAGACTTAATAAGAAGTGACAATATTTACACAGATTTGAGCAAAAATATTCAGGTGAACAACAACAATCATGTTATTTATTTGCATACAAAACAAAAATTTGGAGTTAACATGAAGCAGAAGAAAACAGGAAAATAAGTTAAAGAGGCCTTCATCTTTCTGTATATACTGCAACTTCTTAGATGGCCCCCTAGTTCATTGCGTAAGACAAAGGTTGACACATTTTTTTTTAAATATAAATTAAACAGAAAAATTAGTAACCCATACATGTACATCTAATAAATGTGTATAAATTATTTTCTGTTTTTAAAATGCCAAGTAATACAGTGTTCAATTATGTTTTAATTTTCAAACTAGAATTGGACAAGTTAATTTATATATATAAAAAAAGATGTTTCACATATATAGAAGCATGCATTCACAGGTGGCTTAATTGTATTTGGTGCACTATCTTATAGAATATTAAGGATTAAAATACATACTGCAAGTTTTATAAGTATAGGTGGTAGGTTGGTAGACAGCAACCACCCAGGGAGGTACTACTGTCCTGCTAAGTGAGTGTGAAATGGAAACCTGATATTGTTTTACATGATGGTAGGAATGCTGGTGTCGCTTTTTCTGTCTCAAACAAATGGTATACCGGGTATATCTTGCTTCTTCTACTTACACTAAGGTCACACCACACATGCATGTCCCTGTTCACAGATGATGTGAAGCTAATGAGGAGAATTAAATCAGATGAGGATCAGGCAGGATTTCAAAGAGACCTGGACAGGCTGGCCACCTGGTCCAGCAACTGGCTTCTCGAATTTAACCCCGCCAAAAGCAAAGTCGTGAAGATTGGGGAAGGACAAAGAAGACCGCAGATGGAGTACAGTGGACCCTCGCATACCGTTGGCATCACATAACATTAAATCCGCATACCGATACATTTTATCGCTAAAATTTTGCCTCGCATACCGCTAAAAAACTCGCTCAACGCTATTCGTCCGAGACGCGTCTAATGTGCGGCCTGAGCCAGCCTCACATGTTCCGCCGGTGGCATTGTTTACAAGCCAGCCTCCGCGGTAACATCCAAGCATACAATCGGAACATTTCGTATTATTACAGCATTTTTGGTGATTTCATCTGCAAAATAAGTGACCATGGGCCCCAAGAAAGCTTCTAGTGCCAACCCTACAGGAATAAGGGTGAGAATTACTATAGAGATGAAGAAAGAGATCATTGCTAAGTATGAAAGTGGAGTACGTGTCTCCGAGCTGGCCAGGTTGTATAGTAAACCCCAATCAACCATCACTCCTATTGTGTCCAAGAAAACGGCAATCAAGGAAGCTGTTCTTATCATGTGGGGTTCGAACACGTGGATTGGGTAAAAATACTCACGTAGGCTGGAAGTACGTATATTGTAACTAAAGTATGTGGAAGGGCGCCACAGCCGAACCTGCCTCTCTCTGCCCCTTGACTAGACTGACTGAGGAGTGCCCATGGGCGAGGGGGCGCTTGAAATCCTGCTAGGTCAGCAACAATATGAATACAGTCAGTGATTCACGCAGAGACGGTTGGTAGTGAGTCATCTACTGGTACACTGGTTACTGGTAACTGGTTACTACTACTGAGATTCTTGCCAAAGGTGCAACTGTGTTTTCGAAACAGAGATCGCAAGTGATAGAAGATGTTGAGAGACTCTTATTGGTGTGGATAAACGAAAAACAGATAGCAGGAGATAGCATCTCTCAAGCGATCATAAGTGAAAAGGCTAGGAAGTTGCATGAAGATTTAATTAGAAAAATGCCTGCAACTAGTGATGATGTGAGTGAATTTAAGGCCAGCAAAAGTTGGTTTGAGAGATTTAAGAAGCGTAGTGGCATACATAGTGTGATAAGGCATGGTGAGGCTGCCAGTTCGGACCACAAAGCAGCTGAAAAATATGTGCAGGAATTCAAGGAGTACATAGACAGTGAAGGACTGAAACCTGAACAAGTGTTTAATTGTGATGAAACAGGCCTGTTTTGGAAGAAAATGCCAAGCAGGACCTACATTACTGAGGAGGAAAAGGCACTCCCAGGACATAAGCCTATGAAAGACAGGCTTACTCTTCTCATGTGCCAATGCTAGTGGTGATTGCAAAGTGAAGCCTTTATTAGTGTATCACTCAGAAACTCCCAGAGCGTTCAGGCAAAAGAATATCCTCAAGGCTAATTTGTGTGTGCTGTGGAGGGCAAACAGTAAGGCATGGGTCACTAGGGACTTTTTCTATGACTGGTTACACCAAGCATTTGCCCCCAATGTGAAAAATTACCTAACTGAAAAGAAATTAGACCTTAAGTGCCTCCTGGTGTTAGACAATGCCCCTGGTCATCCTACAGACTTGGCAGAGCGACTTTGTGGGACATGAGCTTCATTAAGGTCAAGTTTTTGCCTCCTAATACCACTCCTCTCCTGCAGCCCATGGACCAGCAGGTTATTGCAAACTTCAAAAAACTGTACACAAAAGCTCTGTTTGAAAGGTGCTTTGTAGTGACCTCAGAAACTCAATTGACTCTAAGAGAGTTTTGGAGAGATCACTTTAATATCCTCAATTGCATAAACCTTATAGGTAAGGCTTGGGAGGGAGTGACTAAGAGGACCTTGAACTCTGCTTGGAAGAAACTGTGGCCAGAATGTGTAGACCAAAGGGATTTTGAAGGATTTGAGGCTAGCCCTGAGAGGCGTATGCCAGTTGAGGAATCAATTGTGGCATTGGGGAAGTCCTTGGGGTTGGAGGTTAGTGGGGAGGATGTGGAAGAGTTGGTGGAGGAGGACAATGAAGAACTAACCACTGATGAGCTGCTAGATCATCTTCAACAGCATGAGCCCACACCTGAGGAAACTGCTTCGGAGGAGGGGAGAGAGAAATTGAAGAAGTTGCCTACTTCAAAGATTAAGGAAATCTGTGCAATGTGGCTTAAAGTGCAAACCTTTATGGATGAAAATCACCCTCAGACAGCTGTTGCAAGCCATGTTGGCAACCTGTACACTATGTTGTGAACCACTTTAGGAAAGTCATAAAGGAACGAGAGGTACAGGCCTCTATGGACAGATATGTTGTGCGACAGAAGTCCAGTGACTCTCAAGCTGGTCCTAGTGGCATTAAAAGAAGAAGGGAAGTAACCCCGGAAAAAGACTTGACACCTCAAGTCCTAATGGAAGAGGATTCCCCTTCTAAACACTAAGGCCATCAACACTCTCCCCTCCTCCCATCCCATCAATCATCACCAGATCTTCAATAAAGGTAAGAGTCATGTAACTGTGCATGTCTTCTTCAGTTTGTGTGTATTAAAATTAATATTTCACGTGGTAAAAAAAAAAAAAATTCATACTTTTGGGTGTCAGGAACGGATTAATTTGATTTCCATTATTTCTTATGGGGAAAATTCATTCACATAACGATAATTTCGCATAACATTGAGCTCTCAGGAATGGATTAATAGCGTTATGCGAGGGTCCACTGTATAGGCTAGGTGGCCAAAGACTGCAAACCTCGCTCAAGGACAAAGATCTTGGGTGGGTATAACACCGAGCACGTCTCCGGAAGCACACATCAACCAGGTAACTGCTGCAGCATATGGGTGCCTGGCAAACCTGAGAACAGCATTCCGATACCTTAGTAAAGAATCGTTCAAGACACAACACTGTGTATGTCAGGTCCATACTGGAGTATGCAGCGCTTGTTTGGAACCCACACTTGATCAAGCTCCTCAAGAAATTAGAGAAAGTGCAAAGGTTTGCAACAAGGTTAGTTCCAGAGTTAAGGGGAATGTCCTACGAAGAAAGGTTAAGGGAAATCAGCGTGATGACACTGGAGGACAGGAGGGTTAGGGGAGACAAAATACTGCATGGAATAGACAAGGTGGACAGAGACAGGATGTTCCAGAGAGAGGACACAGAAACAAAGGGTCACAATTGGAAGTTGAAGACCCAGATGAGTCAAAGGGATTTTAGGAAATATTTCTTCAGTCACAGAGTAGTCAGGAGTGGAATAACCTAGCAAGTGAGGTAGTGGAGGCAGGAACCATACACATCTTAAAGATGAGGTATGATAAAGTTCAGGGAGCAGGGAGAGAGAGGACCTAGTAGCACTCAGTGAAGAGGTGGGGCCAAGAGCTGAGTCTTGACCCCTGCAACCACAATTGGGCGAGTACAATTAGGTTAGTATCCATCTGGATTTGCTTCTATTTTCTTAATAGTTCTTGTTTTTCTTTATTTCCTTTAATTTTCATGAGGAAGCGAGACAGAATTCTTCTGTAAGCCATGCATGTCATAAGAGGTGACTAAAATGCTGGGAGAAAGGGGCTAGTAACCCCTTCTTTTCTATAAATTACCAAATTTAAAAAGAAAAACTTTCATTTTTCTTTTTTAATTTAAATGATGTGCAGGGTGACCTAAAAAGAACAATGCAGGGTGACCTAAAAAAAAAACTTTCATTTTTTAGGTCACCTTGCCTTGGTGGGATACGGCCAGTTTGTTGAAAAAAAAAAATATTTAAAATGTGTAGTTTATCAGTTACTCAACTGCATCTGTTATAACAGTAACAATACAGTGGTACCTCAAGTTATGAACTTAATTCGTTCCAGAAGACTGAGTGCCGATACCAAACGAATTTGTTCCCATAAGGAATAATGTAAATTAGATTAGTCCATTTCAGACCCCCACAAATACACTTACAAAAGCACTTACAACAACACACTTACATAACTGTTTGAGTCAGGAGCTGTTGGAAACTCAAGGTACCACTGTATTTGTATTTTTTATTTTCAAATGAGAACGTTAATGTCAGATACAGTGCTGGAAAGTAACCCCCACAAAAATTTAAAACTAATTACAGGAGTGTATTATTAAATTCATGAAGAAGCACTAAATCTATAGGAGTTATACAGTGCCTGGGAAATGAAAGGGAATCTGGTTTAATTCAAGGAAAGTAGAAGCTCCGATTACTTGATCAAAATCCCATTACCGGCACCAAGTTAATGTTGAAATCAAAGATTTATTTAGTTATATAAATAACTCACAATCAACATCAGTAGCCACCAAAATAATATTTACCCTTTGCTTGACCCAGAAACCTTATCTTTCTTTTTCTTTTTCTTCTTTTTCTTTTCAGGGTCATTACCACTCAGGTACTTCTTCAGATATTCTTTCTGACTTAATGGGGCAGCCATCTGTCAAAATACAGAGATATTAATGATGGACACAGAGAATAATAACTTTAAAAAGTATCAAAACAAGGAGATATTAATGGACACAGAAAAGAATAATTTTCTGAAAAGTATTCTATTTACAAATTTCCAATTTAAATTTTAGGTGGCATATATTACACTCAATCCAACAACAAACCTCTACTTACTTCATGCTACATTCACGGCTAATAAATTTAAAAAAGAAAAAAGTTATTAACTAAATTTTGTAATTCACCAAAAGGTATCCCATAAAGTACATGTTATAAGATACATTTGTGTGAATGACATTCTTCCCTGTAAGCACATACTTTATACTAGGTGTGCCGAAGTACTGGTGATGGTACTGGTGGGTATTGACTAATTTTGATGGCACTGGTATCTATACTGGCTTAAAACTGAGTATTAGTATGAGCAAAAACTTTGGTACTGGCCCATTCTTCCTTTATACTATATCAATGTATGTCTATTCTACATTCTGTGTGTACTTTATAGTGTACCTCAATACGTATATGAATACTCTACACTGGCAATGTATAGCATACTCTGTACTCTTATAATTATATTAACACCATGCACTAAACCTGCACGAGTCATATGGCAACACTTAGTGCACTCTAATGCATCAGTTTATGTATACGTACTCCATGTGTATAATCCATACTGTTGTAGTACACGTATGCTCATACTGCCAGTGTACTGTACGTGTTATCTACAGTTTCTGTGTATGTATACATACTCTATAGCATGCCAAGAACCTGTTAGCCCAAAGAATTATTACTGTTATACTCAAGGCACCTCCTTGAATGGTTAGCCCAAGGAAAGAATCTCTGATGATTTTGAAATAAGCATTTACATGAACAGTATAATAATTCTTTACAGTAAACCACATAGCATTTTTTTATGAGTGTGCTATAAGTGGCATTAGCACTGGGTATATAATACTCTAATGTAAATTAAAGTTGGCATCCCCCACAAAACAAGTCTACCATATTGGAGAAAAATAGAGGTCATTTCTATAGTGATATAATTATTATTACTATTATTAATACCATGAACAGAAAACCACAAAAAAACAAAGCAAGTAATCAAACTGAAGCTTCCTATTTACTGTCACCAACCATTGCAATATTCTTCAACTATGTGGTTCCCAAATCTGCCAAGGCATAAAGTTAACAATTTATTTCCAATGCAGTCCCCCATATACAAACCCAAAATATTTAATATGAATAATTAACCTGAGGGTCAGCAATCATTATATTTAAGGAGAAGTGCTAAACACATTGGGGTCATACAATGTCTGGGGAATGGGAAGTAAACAGGTTTATTCAAAGGGGAGGAAAAATTAAATTCCTTGGATGAAGAGCCTCCTACCAGCATCAAGGAACCTCCCATTTGAGGAAGTAAGTGTATTTAGGTACAGATACACACAAATAATTACACAAATTATCATACCTAAGTAACATATGTGTAAATTACCTAGGATAACCCATAAAAGTCAGACAAAGTGACCTATTTCTACTGGGGTCCTTGATAACCCAAAAAAATCAGGTGGTTTAGCAAAAAATTGCCATTATATTTTGCGGCTTATTTTTAATGAGGACTTTTGATTCTCTTCCTGAGGATGCGACCCACAACAGTAGGCTAATACCCAGGTACCTGTTTACTGCTAGGTGAACAGGGTCAACAGGTGCAACATACCCAACCTCTCTACCCGTGCCGGGATCGAGCCCTGGTCTTTCAGATGAGAGCCGAAGGCTAGCCACTTGAACTACAAGCCAAAATTTAAATAAGCCCATTTAGGCAAAACTGCATAGTTCTTGGCTGATTACAACTGCCATACATAACAAAAAATTACCTAGGATAACCCAAGAGTCAGCGACTTATTTCCAAAGGGGTCTAAATGCAATCTTATAAATAACCCCCCCAGCTGAAAGATAAAACTACTCTAATTCCCACTGTCTATGACTACTGCTTAGTGTTAACCACACAATGCACAGGAGATGGTGTAAAATATAGTTTAGTTAGACGAGCCGTACCTTGAGTGTCTTGTTTACATGTTACCTCGCTCACCTTCCTTCATGCCCGCCATAATATATCATATATACATCTAAAATACTTTATATCCTCCCCTTATGTATTTCAAACTTACTTTTGAAATAGGAACATTAATTAAATTTCTTTTATAATGTATAAAATATTTCCTTTGTTTATATTTTAATCTTGCGGTGTCTTTAACTGGATGAAAACGAATGTATCCGCTAGCCTATTTCTGGTTGCAGGGGTCGAGTCCCTGCACCTGGCCATGGGAGCGCTAAACCCATAAGGTTTATGCAATGCCTGGAAAATGAGAGAGAGCTAAGTTTGTTCCGATGAAATAAAGGGTAGCCTCTTATTTTTCAGATTAAGAGCCCTTCATCAACAGGCAAGACACACCCCTTGAAGGACTCTCATTTTAGATGTTTTTGTCAATTAGCTTTTTAAATATAAGTAAAGGGATCAATTCGTTAAATTCATTGTTTCTGAAGGGTGTAGATTGCCACTGGCACAATGACTGTGAAGATATGGCAATGTAAAGGTATCTTGGCACTAGCGTTTTTACGAGTCTTATCTTAAACAATGTAATTATATGGGTCTCATTCCTAATTATTATTATATTATTATTGTTGTTATATACACCTGCAATCGTTCAGAATCGTAGGGGTCACATAGTACCCGGGAGGCATTGAGACTAATCCTGAGTACCTCCCAGGCAATGTATAACCCCTATGGGTTCAGCGCTTTCGCGTGATTAAAATGAAATTAAAAATATAGTGGTCACACTGCACCACACTTCACTGTACTCTGGTCATGTCACCACACTTCACTGTACTCTGGTCATGTCAATGCACTTCACTGTACTCTGGTCATGTCACCACACTTCACTGCACTCTGGTCATGTCACCACACTTCACTGTACTCTGGTCATGTCACCACACTTCACTGTACTCTGGTCATGTCACCACACTTCACTGTACTCTGGTCGTCACACTTCACTGTACTCTGGTCATGTCACCACACTTCACTGTACTCTGATCATGTCACCACACTTCACTGTACTCTGGTCGTCACCACACTTCACTGTATGCTTGTCACTACTCATCACTGTACACTAGCCACCTCTCTTCATTGTATACTGGTCATGTCAATATACTGTATCCATGTCATTTGTCACTACACATCACTGTATAATGGTCATGTGTAGTGAAAATGACGTGTGTACAGTTACCTACCACTGCACATCGCTACTCCGGTCATGTCACTAGCCACCTGTCACTACTTCATTGTACACTGTCACTACAATATATTTGTCACTACATTTTACAATTCAGTATTTCACTGCCTGCTCTCAGTGCATCACTTTCTAGGGTACTGCCTCTCTTAAGTTTATGTTTAGTTTTGGCTGGTTATTATTAGATTTATGGGTGAAGTGCTAAACCCTTAAGGATCATACAGCACCTGGGGAATTGGAGGCAATCAGGTTTGATCTTAGGAAGGCGAGGATTGCTCGTATTCCTTTGATTAAGAACGTGTCATCTGCATCAAGGCACCCTCTCTTCAAATGGCAGGAACTTGAACATCCTTAAGATGTGAATACACTCCATGGCCACTTTATTAGGTACACCTGTACACCTACCCATTAATGCAAGTATCTGATCAGCCAATCATGTGGCAGCACCTCAATGACTAAAAGCATGTAGACATGGTCAAGAGGTTCAGCTGCTGTTCAGACCAAACATCAAAATAGGGAAGAAATGTGATTTAAGTGACCTTGACCATGCAATGATTGTTGGTGCCAGACAGGATAGTTAAGAGTATCTCAGAAACTGCTGATCTGGAATTTTTATGCACAACAGTGTAGAGTTTACAGAGAATGGTGGGAAAGAAGAAAACATCCAGTTCTGTGGGATAAAATGGATTGTTAATGAGAGAGGTCAGAGGAGAATAGTGAGATAGGTTCAAGCTGACAGGAAGGCAACAGTAACTCAAATAACTATGCATTAACAGTGGTATGCTGTAGAGCATCTCTGAATGCACAACATGTCAAACCTTGAAGTGGAAGGGATAGAGCAGCAGAAGAAAACCAGGTTCAACTCCTGTTAGCTAAGAACAGGAAACTGAACCTAGAGTGGGCACAAGATCTCCAAAACTGGACAGTTGGAGATTGGAAAAATGTTGCCTAGTTTGATAAATCCTGATTTCTGCTGCAACATGCAGATGGTAGGGTCAGAATTTGGAATAAACAACATGAATCCATTTTGCGTTGTGTTAACAGTTCATGGTGGTGGTGTAATGGTATGGGGACATGTTTTCCTGGCACAGATTGAACCCAATAATACTAAATGAGCATGGTTTAAATGTCAAGGCCTCTCTGATTGCTGTTATTGACCAAGTGCATCTTTTTATAGCCACAATCTACCCATCTTCCAATGACTACTTTCAGCAGAATAACATGCCATGTCACAAAGCACATGTCACTTTGCACTTGTTCCACAAACATTACAAAGAGTTCAGTGTACTTCAATGGCCTCTGCAATCACTAGATCTCAATCTGATAGAGCATGTATGGGATGTGGTGGAAAAGGAGATTTGCAGCATGAATGTGCAGCCAACAAATATGTAGCATCTGTGTACTGCTATCATGTTAACATGGACCAGACTCTCTAAGGAATGTTAAAAGCACCTTGAATCGATGCCGCAAAGACTTCAGGCTGTTCTGGGAAAATAGGGGGAAGGGGGCCTACCCAGTACTAGAAGGGTGTGCTGAATAAAGTGGCCACTGAGTGTATGTTAGATAAGAATGTTCAGATAACTGGACAGTGTCCAGGACTAGCTCAAAAGTTTAAGTAACATGGACTATTTGCCAGCACAGCCACATGATAGTAATGACCCTGACAATCAAAATGTCATAAGCAAAAAACAAAATAAAATAGCACTTTGTTATGTTGAAAGTAGCAAGGATGATATCAGGCAAATAACCTGCATTCATAATTTTCTTATTATTATTCATAATTTTCATCTAAATCTAGCACTGTCTTGGACCTGAACTTCCTAGATACTATAATGGTTCACTTACTTGTACTTCTGCTTATTCCCATAACTTGCCTTTTTCTGCATTCTCTCTAAACTTTTTTTTTTTTTAACACACTAGCTATCAACTACTGAGGTACGGTGACCTTACTTCAGTGGGAAATGGCCAGTGTGTTTACACATCCTTCCAAATCTCCCGATAGCACTGGTTTATCAGCAATCAGTACAGATTCATCTTTTAGAATCATACCTTTCTTACACTTTCCAAACAATTTTTTATTTTTTTTTTATTATCACACTGGCCGATTCCCACCAAGGCAGGGTGGCCCGAAAAAGAAAAACTTTCACCATCATTCACTCCATCACTGTCTTGCCAGAAGGGTGCTTTACACTACAGTTTTTAAACTGCAACATTAACACCCCTCCTTCAGTGTGCAGGCACTGTACTTCCCATCTCCAGGACTCAAGTCCGGCCTGCCGGTTTCCCTGAACCCCTTCATAAATGTTACTTTGCTCACACTCCAACAGCACGTCAAGTATTAAAAACCATTCGTCTCCATTCACTCCTATCAAACACGCTCACGCACGCCTGCTGGAAGTCCAAGCCCCTCGCACACAAAACCTCCTTTACCCCCTCCCTCCAACCTTTCCTAGGCCGACCCCTACCCCGCCTTCCTTCCACTACAGACTGATACACTCTTGAAGTCATTCTGTTTCGCTCCATTCTCTCTACATGTCCGAACCACCTCAACAACCCTTCCTCAGCCCTCTGGACAACAGTTTTGGTAATCCCGCACCTCCTCCTAACTTCCAAACTACGAATTCTCTGCATTATATTCACACCACACATTGCCCTCAGACATGACATCTCCACTGCCTCCAGCCTTCTCCTCGCTGCAACATTCATCACCCATGCTTCACACCCATATAAGAGTGTTGGTAAAACTATACTCTCATACATTCCCCTCTTTGCCTCCAAGGACAAAGTTCTTTGTCTCCACAGCCTCCTAAGTGCACCACTCACCCTTTTCCCTCATCAATTCTATGATTCACCTCATCTTTCATAGACCCATCCGCTGACACGTCCACTCCCAAATATCTGAATACATTCACCTCCTCCATACTCTCTCCCTCCAATCTGATATCCAATCTTTCATCACCTAATATTTTTGTTATCCTCATAATCTTACTCTTTCCTGTATTCACTTTTAATTTTCTTCTTTTGCACACCCTACCAAATTCATCCACCAATCTCTGCAACTTCTCTTCAGAATCTCCCAAGAGCACAGTGTCATCAGCAAAGAGCAACTGTGACAACTCCCACTTTATGTGTGATGATTCTTTATCTTTTAACTCCACGCCTCTTGTCAAGATCCTCGCATTTACTTCTCTTACAACCCCATCTATAAATATATTAAACAACCATGGTGACATCACACATCCTTGTCTAAGGCCTACTTTTACTGGGAAATAATTTCCCTCTTTCCTATGTACTCTTAACTTGAGTACATAGATATATACCATAAACCACAAAAATATCACATATCATTTGGGATAAGCACTAAACCACTTTTACTGGAAAAGATGCAGGACTGAAAGACTTGGGGTCTTAAGGCTGACAGCAGGTGACAATTTTTGCACCACCAACAGTACAGTTTATTATAGAATATTCACTCAAAACAGCACTAAACGTGTAGGGGAGTGAATGAGATGATGCAAATATTTTCATCTTTGAAAGCTACTCTGTCCTGATGGAGAAATAGCTTATAAAAGATTTGTCTATATCAGCTCTATACACCCTGGAAGAAAAAGTACAGCATTTGCCCAGTTCTCAGTTAAGTTCCCCAAAGTTTCACATATGTACCGTACTTCTTACACTGTCAGTGTCAATTCATAATGCTCAAATGTGTGTAGTATGTATTAACGTGATTCCTTTCTGTGAC